TTCATTGATTATTGTCATGCATGTTACATAATATTATTTGTTAATTATTGGTTATCATAAATAAAATCTATTTTTATATATTGTGATTATTTATATGAAATACTTTTCACTTAACACGATAAACGTTCTTTGGGATCTGAGAATTGAATTAGTGGGCAATTCTCACTGTTACTATTATTATCCCATAAATATCCCCACAAGCTGACCAGCTGGCCACCTTGGGCCCCCCAAAGGCTGGCATCTGCTCTGTTTGTGGGCGGGCAGCGAGGGAGCACTCTCCCATGAGCTCTTCCTGCTCAGCTTGGATTGATTGGATATTAAAAAAAATTGTGAGTGTGTTAGTGAAAGAGTGTGTCTGTTGGTGAGAGTGTGTGTCTGTTAGTGAGTGTGTTAGTGAGTGTGTTACTGTGTCTGTGAGTGTGTGTGTGTGTGTGTGTGTGTGTTGGTGAGAGTGTTTGTGTGTGTCTGTTAGTGAGAGTGTTAGTAAGTGTATGTTAGTGAGAGTTTTAGTTTTTGTCTGTTAGTGAGTGTGAGTGTGTGTGTGTGTGTGTGTGTGTGTGTGTCTGTTAGTGAATGTGTGTGTTAGTGAGTGTGTGTGTCTGTTGGTGAGAGTGTTAGTGTGTGTCTGTTAGTGAGTGTGTGTGTGTATGCTAGTGAGTGTGTTAGTGACAGTGTGTGTGTGTGTAGTGTGTCTGTTAGTTAGAGTGTTACTGTGTCTGTGAGTGTGTGTGTTGGTGAGAGTGTTAGTGTGTGTCTGTTAGTGAGAGTGTTAGTAAGTGTATGTTAGTGAGTGCGTATTGTGTCTGTTAGTGAGAGTTTTAGTTTTTGTCTGTTAGTGAGTGTGAGTGTGTGTGTGTGTGTCTGTTAGTGAATGTGTGTGTTAGTGAGTTGTTGGTGAGAGTGTTAGTGTGTCTGTTAGTGAGTGTGTGTGTCTGTTAGTGACAGTGTGTGTGTGTGTGTGTGTGTGTGTGTGTCTGTTAGAGTGTGTCAGTGAGAGTGTGTGTGTGCCTGTTAGTGAAAGAGTGTGTGTATGTGGGTGTGTGTCTGTCAGTGAAAGTGGGGGTGTGTGTGTCTGTTAATGAGAGTGTGTGTCTGTTAGTGAGTATGTGTTTATCAGTGAGAGTTTATATGTGTTTGTCAACCAGTATATGTATGTCACTGAGTGTGTGTGTATCTGTCACTGAAAGTGTGTGTCTGTCAGTGTGTATATGCATGTCTGTGTTTGTATGTCTGTTAGTGAAAGTTTTTATTTCTGTCAGTGTGTTTCTGTCAGCTAGTGTATGTGTCCGTCAGTAAATGTGTGTGTCTGTCGTTAAATGTGTGTGTCTGACACTGAGTGTATATATGTCTGTCAGTGAGTGTGTATGACACTGAGTGAGTGGTTGTCTGTCAGTGAGTGTGTATGCATTTCTGTCAATGAGTGTATATGTGTGACAGTTGGTGAATGTGAGTATGTGTAACTGTAAATGAGTGAGTGTGTATGTCTGTGAATGTGTATGTTTCAGTGAAAGTGTGTGTTAAAGGGACGCTGTAGGCACCCAAAGCACTTCAGCTCATTGAAGTGGTCTGGGTGCAAAATCCCATCACCCTTAACCCTAGAGTGGTAATTATTGCAGTTTTTATAAACTGCAATAATTACCTGCTAGGGCTAACTCCACCTCTAGTGGCTGTTTACCAGACAGCCACTAGTGGGACTTCCGGACTTGAAGAAGACTTTTGGTCATCGAAATGGTGGGTGCTGGATGTATAGGGACACTATAGGCATCAAAATGACTTTAGCTTAATGAAGCTGTATTGGGATGTATATTGTAACCCTGCAGTCTCACTGCTCATTTCTTTCCGTGCGGCACATGCGGCTGTCCTGGCCACAGTGAATGACATGCGGATTTCAGACCACTGCACAATCTGTCTTCTGGCAAGGCTACCAGATCATTATGGCAGCCTTGTGACATCTACAGGAGTCCTTGGAAATTACAGGACCCTGTAGGTGTAGGCTTTTTATAGTATTAAAGTGACAGGTCATATTTTTAGGCCACATCCTCAATGGCTGACTATGCCATTGAATTCCGCACATTGTCATCTGAGGTCTTCTGGAATAACAGTGGACTTGTTGCTGCATTTACTGAAGGTTTAACGGATAGCTTACTTAATGAATTAGCAGCAACGGATCTACCTGATCAGTTAGAGGAGCTTATATCTTACGCTTCTCATGTAGATAAGAGGATAAGGGAGAGAAGACTAAGTAGAAGTTTGACTTCCAGGTTTAATAACTCTACACTACTCGCTTTGCCTGCTCCAGAACAAATGCATTTGGGTTCTATGAGATTATCTGAAGAGGAGAAAAATCATAGAAGAAGAGAGGGGCTGTGTCTTTACTGTGGGAAGAAGGGGCAGCTCAGGAAATACTGCCTAAATAGGCCGGAAAACTCTCACACCTCAGTTCGATTAGGGGACCAGCCTTGGGTGTTATGATGATGTCCCCTAAAATGCTTAACACATGCTTCCTCCTACCTATCACCTTGTCTCGGGGATCTTTTGTCATTTAGACTCAGGCATTGCTTGACTCAGGTGTTGCCAAGAGTTTTATAGATTTAGCTTTTACTACTCAGCTAAACATACCCCTTAAGGAAAGACATACACCCTTGGCCATTGAGGCCATAGATGGTAGACCACTTCTCAATCTGAAAATAACACATGAGACAGATGCTTTACAGCTGCAAGTGGGCTTTTTGCATAGGGAACTCATAGTGTTACAAGTTATTACCTCTCCGTCTCCTCCAATTGTACTAAGGTTTCATTGGTTAGAGAAACATAACCCTACTATCGATTGGCAAAAAATAAAAAAAGGGACATAACTTCATGGGGTACTAACTTCATGGGGTACTAATTGCAGGACATCTTGTTTGCAAAAATTTGAAGGTTTCATTGGTTAGAGAAACATAACCCTACTATCGATTGGCAAAAAATAAAAAAAGGGAGATAACTTCATGGGGTACTAACTTCATGGGGTACTAATTGCAGGACATCTTGTTTGCAAACATTTGTTCCTCTTTATACCCTTAATGTACCCACAGCCAATCCTTTTTCTATCTGTGTACCTGAGCAGTATTCTGATCTGAGGGAAGTGTTTAATAAGAAAAGAGGCAAAAAAACTGCCACTCCATCGTTCTTACGACTGTGCTATTGACTTGTTACCTGGTTCCATGCCTCCTAGGGGTAGGATCTATCTGGTTACTGTTTCCCTATTCTATGTGTGTGTGGGTTACCCATTCTTGACATTATGTAGCCCTAGCCACACCTCCACTGGCTTTGACTGACACAGCCTGTATAAATAAAAGGATTTCATATTCAATCAAATATTAACTTGCTGTAGAAGTTTTTATCTCCTACTTGGTAAAATGAACTTAGGGTCTAGAAGGCTATTAATAGAGCTGGAGATAAGAAATTCTAAATTAAACATAATAGAGTATAACCATTAGATCTCTCTTTATAGGAAGTGTTTAGGAAGGCTGTGTAAGTCACATGCAGGGAGGTGTGGCTAGGACTGCATAAACAAGGTGCTTTAACTTCTAAATGGGCGAGACCTGAGCAGTGAGCCTGCAGGGGTATGAACTATCCGAACTGCTTAATTAAGCATAAGTTGTTTTGATGCCTATAGTGCCTATTTTGACACGTTTTACACAGTAGTTTTGGTATTAGACTTTGGAGACAACTATTACACTTCTAGTCACAGCACATCAATTATTGCAAACGTTTAACTTTAAAACAGTCATTCCCTTTTACAACGAATTAAAATGAAATAAAGAATATAAATAAATGCTAAGCACTCAAAAAGCCTAATCATAAGACATAAGAGGAAACCCTAAGATAAGACATTAAATTTTCCTCATGTCTTATGATTAAGCTTTTAGATTGCTTAGCGTTTATTTATAAAAAAAAATCCATTTTACATTTGTTTGAGGAACTGTTGGAAATATTATTTGGGATAGATAGATATCTAGCTTCTATGCCAGAACTTTTTTAGATTTTGCCGCACCCCCTTTAAAACAAAAAAAGTAAAACACTTTTAAAAACATATTTAAACTTAAAGGGACACTATAGGCACCCCCACCACTTCAGCTCATTGAAGTGGTCTGGATACAGTGTTCCTTTTGCTAGAGAAACTTCAATGTTTACATTGCAGCACTAAGTCTGCCTCCAGTTCCTGTCTACCAGACACCCACTGGAGGCTCTTCCTCCATTGAAACGGACCTTTGATCGGGTATCTGGAGCTGGACATCCTCACACTCTGCATTAGCGCCCATTTGTCGGTGGACGTCAGAGGGGGCGGAGCATCAACTCAAATCCAAGGGACATTGGCTCTGGGGTAAGGTAAGTAAATCAAGAGTTTTTAACCCTTTATTCATTGGGGAGGGGGTGGCACAAGGTAGAGGGAGCTATAGTGCCAGGAAGACAGCTTTGTATTTCTGAACTTACAGTATCCATTAAAGTTTATTCCAGTGCAAAGACAGCATTGAATGCTGCACCCTCCTGCACGCAGTGTGATCATTCACAAGTAGTAAACTGAGTGATTGCCCAACTTACCATTCATTTAGGACATGTCAGCATTAATTTAGGGCATGCAGACAAGCTTTCTGCTATATCGATGCCAACTGGAAAGACCTTAGATAATTGAAGGATATGGAGTAAGAAGCAGATCATTAATGGTTACACAGTGAGAGAAAATATTTGCACCAAAAACTGGTTCTAAACTGATTTACAAACATCTAGATAGAAGATCAAGAACCAAATAATATCACCTCAAGAATAGCAACTTCACACATGAAAAAAAACTGAGTAAGAATGGTAACTGCATTGTGGAAAGTCAGACTAACCATTACAGAAAACCCAACAGTGTAACTATTGGACAGTTTTTTCTATCAGTAACAAATGTGTTTCACAAGCTCATCTTCCTGTTTGAGATCTGTCATCTCTGATAAATTGAACATTCTGAGTTTCTTCGTGAATGTCTCACACAGCCATGCTTCCTCTCTGTGTCAGTTTACTCCTGATCTGTATACTTAAAAATGATTTCATGGGGTCATCCTATGGTAAGTAAAGTAAATGTGTATCTGCTTCCTCTGATTAATATTCTTAGCTTTATACTATCAGAGTTTTTTGCTAAAAGTGAGAATTCAAAGTGAATTTCAAAATAGGCGAACCACAACAATTCTTTAATTCAGCTCCGCGGTCAGCTCCTCTACTGTGTTCTTAAAATTTTAATTCACTTTGAATTCTCACTTTAGTGAACAACTCTGTACGTAATGTAACGATACTGCACAAGAACCTGAACTCAGTTGCCCACAATTCTACATTTGCTCATCAGTCATTTAAAGCTATTTAAAGGGGCATTAACTCCAACATAGTCTGTCACGTTTATACCATTATGATTTAAAGTGAGTAAGTAACAGCAAAAAAGAAAAAAAACTATTATAAATGAAGATAGGAAAGAAAAGCAAACATACTATCTAAGGAGATGGAGGGACATTTCATTCTGCAAATACTTTGTTTGCCAATATAGATTGAGTTGAAAATGTAGTGAAACATATTGTACCCAACGTTTAGTCCCCGTGTTGGTAGGACAGGTAAAAGTCCCTTTCAGACTTGTAAATACAATGTGTTTGTAAGATATGGTTTCATTTTGTAATCTAGTTAGATAGCTAGATAACATTTTTCGACTGCGAGTGACAGTTGAAATTAAAGTTGTTTTATTATTATTTTATGTATATAGTGCCAACATATCCTGCAGCACTATGTAAAGGGTGGAGAGAACACTAAAGTAAATGAGGCCTGCTTAATCGGACTTGCAGATCCAAGAAGTGGAGCCAAAATATTGACTTGGCTTTAGCATTATAATGAAATAAGGTCTAAAATGGTACTATAATATTTAGGATGGAAGCAGGTTTACTTCAGCAAACCATCTATGGTATGCAGTTGGGGACAGAATAATATGTACCTTTTCCTATAAACTGGCATTGGGACCCAATTTGGCATTTGGGACGCAACTAGCAGTTAAGAAACACAGATATAGAGGAAGGTACAATGTATATTGCAATGATCTAAGATTAATTCAAAATTGTACTTTTAACACATTAAACTTAAGAGGCTGACAATTTCCCAGAGCACCTGCCTTGCGAAGACTTCTCATTGAGCTACATTGAGAAGTCTGTGATTGAACAGCCACAGAAAGTCTGGGCACGGTTAGAAGGGGAGGGCTTGGAAAAGTTTCAGACAAGAGATCTGCAGCTTTTGCAGGCTATTTTAGATATAGCCCAATGAAAAAATGCATAATTAAATGTTTCATTGGGTGTTGATCTACTAAACATTTATTAATATTTATTTTGGGCAGTGGAGTATATTTTTAATTGAGGTGATGTATGGATCATGTTCTGCAGTCTGAGTGCTTAATTGTCTGCCATTTAAGAGTTAAATTACTTTCCTTATACCACACTAGTCACAACTACCCCAGCCTTAATGAAAACAAAATGCCTAAATTAATAATTGAGCATTGAGACTGTGGGGGTATGATCTATACACCAAAACTTCTTAATTAAGCTAGACATGTTTTAGTGCTTATTTAATATGAGTATTCCTTTAACATGTCATGATTCCCTTTTATTCCAGAAGTTTGGTCCTTAAGGGGTTAAATCAGGCTTCCCCAAACTCCAGCCCTCTAGATGTTGCTAAACTACAACTCCCGTGATTCTATGAATGAAATAGATAGGCTGAGAATCATAGGAGTTGTAGTTCAGCAACATCTGGTGGGCTAGAGTTTGGGGAAGCCTGCTTTAAATGGAGGGCATGATGTGCATTTAATGTTAAAGACTCGGTCATATACAGGTTTATTCATAGAAATATATGAGGGGAACCTCTCAGAGGAGATGGGGACACAAGAGAGCATTTGGCATAGAAGACTTGGCATGTGTATGAAAATGCTCTCTAAGCCCTTGTTATGTATTTGAGCGAGATGGCCAGCTTAAAGCAGTGTTTTTTTGTAAATTGTTGCCCTTATAAGCACTTGATCTACTTACAGATTTGTATAGCCTTGCTTTTCAGTGGAACAGATATTATCAGCTATCAGTAATAGAATGCAAGGACACAGGAATAGGGGAGCTTTTTGCACCACAGCCTAGGCATGGCACACAGTAAGTTGCAGTGTGTAGAATTTTCCTTTAACAACGTGCATAGTATCTCATAAATTTGGAGATGTGTTTATTTACAAACTGCAACTTGTCCGAATTTGGAACAATCGAGTTCTTGAATTCTTGAACTCTGAGCCAAAATATATCTGAATCCTTCGGTTTGAGGTGTAATGTGGAATTCTGCAAGAGGTGCCAAAAAAAAAAAAGAGAGATGATTGATGGGTTCCAAGATGATTGATGGTGATTTTATTCACAGAGATCACAGAAATGACCAACAGAGGGATCAAAACGGAAGAACAGTAAAATAAATCTATATATCTAAATATATATTATATAAATAAAGATATTTTAATGCTCCGTCTATTTTTACCTCTGTTGGCTACTTTTTCTCACTTGAATTTTGAACCAAATGGCAGGAAAATATTTATATTTATATCATATATTTTTCAGTTTTTGATTGGCCCATTTTAACTCCCTTTTGGTTCATCTGATTAATTTCCATGAATCCGTCCCAAAGTGGTTCTACAAAAACGGACCTGTCCACCTTGCACATGACATATGCATAGTTGCCTTTTCCGGCATATGCTTAACAAACCCCCAAAACACCCAAAGATACTCAGACACCTTCATTTGGGAAAGTTATCACAGCTTTAATAATATAAATAGTACTTAATAGTTTTAAAGGTCATTGTCCACATATTAAACATAACATAACACCCCAACTCCTTTAACAATACTACCCCAGACAATGACGCACATCACAATAAGTAAAACCACATTATAACATATAATTAACATATAAATATAACCATTGCCCCTGAGGGCATGGTTTCCAAGGTTTTTCCATGTAGGGGTATACCGAGATACACCAATGAGCTTGAACTTACCAATACCCTTCCAAACCTAACTGTTCTTAGCAAACTAAACTATTTTACCACAGGACAAACATACACTCCAACTTATCTATCCATTCCTCGTTGCTGTGACCAAATGGGAGCTAAATTTAAAAAAGGGGGGGGGAGAGTGGGACAAAACAGATAAGCGAGGATTAATTAAGATGGCCCCTAATTTAAAATGGCCACTATATATACTCCTCTAGCCAAAACCCCACCTCCCATAACACTAGCCAATCTCCCACACTACACCCCTTCTATGCCTGTCTCCTAGCCAAGTCAAGGCCCATTCCCCTTAGCTGCGCTGCTCCATGGGCTACAAGTCTAGTGTCTCACAAGTCCTCCAGCACCAGAGCATTCACTACCTGTATTGTATAAAGAATAAAATCTTTCACAAGTTCTAAAATAAAATGAATCGTGACCCAAAAAGTTAATGGTTGTGGTGGAGGCAGCAGTAGGAAATCCCCATCCCCAAATTCTTTACATGGATTATCCAAGTTACTTTCACATATGGCAGGGTTAAATATATAAAGTAATTTGGGGGGATTTTATTGTTACCAATAGAAATTAAAGTCCTACAGAACAGATCACCTCAGACACGTAATCTCTCAGCTAATTAAGACTGTACAATTTGTTGATTTGCTTTGCATGAAACTTTTTCAATTTCAATATGAATTAGCATACAATATGAAAAGCTTGATAGACCCTGATGCTCTGTTCCTGCATGTTGGATGACACATGCAGTTCTGGTTATGTTAATTGCAGTTGTGTAAAATGTGTGGTTTCCTTTCCGACTAGGGGTCTGCAAAATGTGTAAAATACAGAGCGTGCAGATTGCTCAAGATTTTCCTATGTTTAACATAACGTTTAAACACATTAATTGTACTTTAAATGGAGGTGATAGATCTATTCAGTGAAAACTAACAAGTATGATATGTTTAGGACTGTGTAACATGCAAACAATTCTAACTGTTTTAGAAAGTCTATATTTGAATATATTCTTTTTTTTGTTTTTTTTGCATAATATGAACCTTGGGAAAAGTAGCCCAAAAAGCATGGTGAGTGAATGGAGAAAGGGAGGGACTAAATCATTGGTCTATTCCATAATGACTAGTGCGATATTGACAACAGGCTGATTAAAAATATAAATAATGCAGTAGAATTTTACATAAACTAAATCTATAAAATATTTATTAGGGAGGGAAAATGGTTCATAATAGCCATAATATTAATTTATACCTGCTAATGGGCTATCATTCTCTGAACTTTAACCTAAAAAAGAACAAATGCAATCAAATTCAAGGGTTGTAATTAATACCAAGTTGCAGCACATTTATCTGGAATGGATAATCGTAACAATTTGTAAGACTTTTGTATCCAATAAAATTATATTGGAAGTAACTTATTAGGGCTCATCAATTATACTTGGAAGGAGTCATCGGCAGCTCTGACACGGGTAAATGTAGTATTAATGGTAGTACTGTAATGAGTATTAAGCCGAGAGAAAACCACTGAATAATGTTACTATCTCATCTCATCCGAAATGATCTCATGTTCGATTCAAGACTTTTGTCTTTATTCACTAAAAGGAATCACTATGACACGCACCCAATAAATTAAGTAAAAATCCAAGTATTGCTAATATGTATATTTAATACATTAACAACAATTAACTGGAGTCTCCTTAATGTTGGATCTTCCTGATCACCATAGTGGATAAGGAGATGCAGAAAGCAGCACCCGGTGGAGCCAGAGAAAAATAAAATATTTGTAAAAATAAAATTAAACTTTTAGTAAAATGTTTACATTGGGACGACACTATGGCACTCCATGCAACAATCACTACAGTGGTTATGGTGCTTTAAGTGTTCCCTTAAGCTTATATAAGTTGTTACGGGGACAGGAGTGTTCAAGTGCCTTCCATTTGTCTGGGCGCTGAAGCCTCAACTATGGGGTTTAACCATTGCCAAACAGTATAACCCCTGAAGGTAAGAAGATACTTGGGCACTGCTGCCCACAACTTCAGTTTAAAGTCTATATGACACTATCTGGCTGATTCCTTTTCATTATTAGAGCTTTGTATTGTGATGGCCATGGTAAATAACTACCTGATTCTCATGATCAAGGAAGTAGAGTGGGGAAAAGTGTTGCATATAAGTAAAGAGTAGGCCTGATTACAGCTGACACATTTGGTTCAATCAAATTGATTCAATTAATAATAATAATAATAATAATAATTGTTTCTGGCGGTTCAGGATATGTTTCAGTTCAAATGTCTATAAATTCATTTCATGACAAACTATTTGGACAAACCAAAAGGGTGAGAAAAAAGGGCAGTGTACTCCAAATATAAATACTATGTATATATTGCGCAGTACACAGATAGGCACATTTTGCCGACATTTGGTTAACACATCAAGTGAGAAGAAGTAACCAATAGAGTGTATAATATAATATATAAATATAATATAATATAGTATATAAATATAGACTTTTATTGCTCCTCTTTTTCCCCCTCTATTTGTCACTTTTAACTTGATCTGTGGATTAAATCAGCATTTAGTGAGTTTCCCCTAACAATCAATGTTTTTTCCCTCCATCAATCATCTAGGTTTTTTTTTTTTGGGGGGGGGGCCACAGTTGCAACTCTGTTTATAGATTCGTTCATACAACGATTAGGATTTACGTAATTTAGATGACTGACTGATCACCCAAAATTCAGACAAGTTGCAATTCGTTTGAAATCAAGTGCATCAAACAAGTCTATCAAACAACAATAAGAGAATAAAATGTATATGCTCGATGAGCAAGGATTTTTTTAATGATATTAAAATACCCTATATATTGCATTTCATTCAATGTATATCCCAACAGTCCCAGATCTGGAGGGTACTGTTCCAATTTCGAGCTCTGCGTTTAGACTGTAAACAGTCACCTCATTAACTGAATATTGGAGATGTTTAGCCACAATTAATTCTTTATCAACCCATTATACAAACCGACAGAATCCTTTAGTTTTCTATACATTATAATAAAAGCAATACTTTCTCTCTCTCTCTCTCTCTCGCTCTCTCTCTCTCTCTCTCACTCATATATATATATATATATAATGAGATATAAGAGATCATATAGTCTTTTATTTATAATATAAACCAACTTAATTCTTATTGCACTTCCTGCTATCTGCTGGTCGATTTCCAGGACAATGCTATCTGCCAATTTTTTTAAACTGCTTCCATTTGATAATCATTTTATTTAAGTTCAAGGGTTCAAGATGGCAGCAGTTCAACCTGGATTTCCCAGAAACATCAGCACAAACAATGAGAAGGTCAAGGCAGCCGCACGGGCGACTGTTAATAAGTACAACAATATGTCCAATGATAAATTTCTGTTCAAAGAACTGGAGATACAACGAGCAATGATACAGGTAAACCTGTCCCTCGAGACCATCAGCTTTGTTCATATAAAACACTGAATGCCACAATTAATCTTACATTTCCTTTTAACACAGATTGTGAAAGGGACAAAATACATGTTACAGACCAAGATAGCAAGAACAGTGTGCACGAAAAATGAATCAGTAGATCTGGACAACTGTGATATTCAAAAAGACAATACCCTCAAAAAGGTTCTGTATGTCACTCTGCATGCATTGTTTTAGGGCAGGGGTAGGCAACCTATGGCACGTATTTCATGCACAGCACTCGAGGTGTCTTTGCACGGCACTCAAGGCTGCTAGAGCCACACAGGCTCTGGCCTATCAGGAGTCCCAGATATCTGCTAACACGAAAAGGTGGTGAAGGACAATTCTCAATTTCTGCATTGCAGCACATAGAGGAAGTGATCTTAGGTCACTTTCTCCCAGCACTTGTGAATGGGAATCCACACTGTTGTAGCTCCTCTCCTTGACATGTACCTGGCCAGCCTGGTCCCCGCTGGAACCCAGGGAAGCTACTCACACTGTGTAGATATACACAGAAATGCAGAATAACCCTCCCCTCATGCAAATAATACAAACAGCCCACACACAAACACAACACACAATCCGCACAAACTCAACACCACTGACAATCCACATACATGCACACAACCCCACATGCAGCCTCTCACATGCAATAAACCAAATTGCCCCACACATACAAACACTACCAAACACACAATGTGACAAATCCATCTACACACACAATTATACAAGCAGCCCCCATACACAGCCCACATTCATAGGTATCTTACACGATACCCACAAACTACTCATGAACATATAAAATATAATAGCTTATTGTAATGTATCACCTGGCACCCCGACTGGGTACTTCCGTTGAAGGATGCTCCTAGCGCTTCCTGAGGGCTCCAAGCACTCCAGCCGACACCATAACCACCGTAGACTCCTTCAGAGAGCAAGACAGGAACAAGCTCTTACAAGAGCTTAGTAGTGATTTAGCAAGGGAGTATGACTAGCATAGCAATCCCTTTTAGCAGATTCCCCCAATAGGAGACAGGACCCTAGATTGAGGGTGAAGTAGAACTGAAGCTTTTAATCAAACACTCTGCTTTTATGCACATTTTACACACATAGTACTGCCCACAGGGTTTTGCAAAACAACCAATCAATACGTACAAAACACTCAGACACTCCCACACAAAATCCTCCCCTCTGCCTGTGATATAATTACTGAATACAATGGTCTAATATAATAATCACAGGCAGGAAAATACACAGTTTTACACAATATTCATAACTCTAAAAGTATACATCACATTCACATTAAAATTTCCAGAATCAGCATACTCCAAATACAAACATACTTTAAAATCATACATATTGGTCCAGTGGGTCACAAGTTAGTTGGAAATCCCTTTGTGACCGCCTGCAAGCATGGTTTGGGTGTGGTAAGCCAATTACCTCCAGCATACAGAAAATAGCTCTATTCACACCAACAGTAAAAACACATAAAAATACATAATTCCTATTATACCTAACAGAACCCCCACATTCAACCTATCCCCAGATAGCTTGGATCTGAACGCTCACTATATCCAAACAGTGCTCAGATACCACAAACACAGTCAAATCGCCATGGGGTTAAACCATAGCAACAAGTTCTAACTGGTCTGACAGTATCCCTGGGACAACGTCCTGCTGGAGAACAATAGACAGGAAACGGGGGAGGGGCACACCTTCTCATGTATTCAAAGGGGCAGAAAAAGTGTTTCAAAATCCAATAAGCCCAAATAATGTCCTTAAAGGGCAATACATCCCAGGGGCCATAGTCACATGGCAGGAGGCCGGCAATTAGTCTTCTCCAATGCCCAGTGGCGAGGTCGGTTTCGCCACACTCATATACACACAAATACAATGATAAAAAGCAACTACGGTATAAACAGCACAAGCAGAATACGGCAACATAAACACCTCGATTTAAAAAAAAAACAAAAAGACCGGCAGGCTATGGGACGTGGCTCTCACGTTAGTAAGAATTCCTTTTTCTGCACAGTAGTATAGAAACGCTAAGGTTCATGTTGCATACTAAATACACAACGATACATATCACTAAAACTTTGGGAATGCTTGCTTTTAAACTGAAATTTCCAATACATTAAAGGGAGATAAAGGTGTTTGGGATCATGAGAGAAAGTGGAGATCAGAGAGCTAAATCATTCTTGCTTGGCAAGGTAGAGGGCAGAAGTATAGGAACGTAATGTAGGAAGTCAGGTGTGTTGCGGAACTCTCTCCGACAATGTTCTACAGGACAGGAACTTTGCTGGAGATCGCAAATAAGAAAGTGAGTTTTCCAACTAGGGTTGAAAGCATGGCTGGCGCTTTCAGTGAGCATGGACTGGAGAAGATAAATAGCATAGAACAATGGAGCTTAGACTTCTAACAGTCATGAGCTAGATTTAAGATGTTGAGTGAAGTGAGGGGCACATTGACAGTGCAGATGAAAAGATGGTGGTCAAACAGAGGGAAAGGTTGTATTAGAGGTGTAATATATATAAAACAGGACCTGTGGATGGGTGAGGAGAGTGTGTTTTACTGAGGCTGTCAAAGAAATGATATTAGAGGGTCACAGAGGATGCATAGCCTTCTAAAAATGTCCAATCTACTGTTCCTCATAGAGGAGCATTGGGGACCTGATGCACATGTGCAACAACCACCAAACACACATATATAATTTCCTTATGGGTAGCATTGAAAAAAAGGTTTATGGGTGCTGCTGTCACGTGACTTTTACTTTGTTATTGAAGCAGGAAGTGCCTATACTGGCTGTCAGTATGACAGTCACTGGAGGTGTGTTTAGCCCTGCAAAGTAAATATTTTATCTAAATGAAGTGGCCTGGTTGACTTCAGCGGTCCTTTAGTTGGTTAACTTCACACACATGCCTACACCCACAAATCACATGTACATCTGCATTCATACATATATTTACATTGACACATGTGTCCCTGCTCTGCAGTGCGTAGAGTAAGCTCATCATCACACATGCTTGTAGTTAGGCTCAGTGGTAGAAAGAGGAATTTAGGCACTCCATTATCTTCAAATGTATTTATAAGGATAAGTGAGACACTGCAACGTTTCGACTCCTGAAAGGGTCTTTGTCAGGGGTCGAAACATTGCGGTGTCTCACTTATCCTAATAAATCAAAATGAAGATACTTGGAGTGCCTGGATTCTGTTTCTACCACTGATATCTACTCCCTGGGGCTGGTACTGGCCCTTGGTCCAGTTTGGCACCCGGATCTTCACGATTGGAGTGTGGTTCGTTTTTTTTCTTTCTTTCTGCATGTACTCAGAGCACTAATGGCTTTAAAAATACATAATTTTTTTAAATGTTTGTTATGAAAATGTTGCTGTTTCCGTTATACTGTTTTTTTGTTTATAAAATAACTGCACATTTAAAAAATTTAATGAATACAAATACAACAAATCTAGATAATCATGCATGTTTGGAAGCATTGAGATGTCTATTTATCTTTCCATAGGCATATTCCTGTTATTCTGAGGTTTGGAATATTACCTGGATGCACGTTATCAAAGTACTTGTTCTTCATTGTAAGGAGATCCCAGACACACAGCTTCTGAACTACAGCGGAGCGTCTATCTTCTGGGAAAGAGATAGTAATCTGGTTTAAAGCAGACTGATCATGGGTTGTTTTTTTTCTCTCCTGTTTTTTCTTTCCTTATGCCCCCTGCATCTTACCTATTATACTCCCTTTATTGCCTTTATTTATATTTATTTTTTACATTGTGCTGAATCCTAATATCAGGGTGCAGTCCTTCTGTGGGATTAATTTTACATAGGTTTGTGGGTAAATATGATTGGTAACTAGAACCACGTTGCATTAAGCTCGGGGCGGGCTGGGACGGGGGGCAGGGAGGCAATTGCCCCCAGGGCAGTCTGCATCCAGTAAAAAAAGTTAAAATAGAAATCCCCTGCCTCTGGCTGGGGACAAGGATTTTTCAACTTACCTCACTCTTCCTGCAGCCTGCAGCCGGTAGTGTCAGCCAGCCTCTTCCTGATGATGTCAGGATGATGGTGAGTCTGGGAGAAGAGCAGAGGAAGTCACACCCCCTCCTCCTGACTTTATCAGGAGAGGACAATTTCACTGACTGCTGCTGCTGTATGCTGGTTGCTGCTCCCGCTGGCTGTTGCCCACCACTCCCTGGTCTAAGGTAAGACTCAGGGAAGGGGGAATACACTCTAGGTTTTTTTTACCCCCTCCTCAGCCCCTGTCCCTCCTCCTCAGCCCTGTCCCCTTACTCAGCTCCTGCCCCCCCTACTCAGCCTCTGCCCCCCCTTCGCTCAGCCCTTGCCCCCCTTCACTCAGCCCCTGTCATACCTCCTCGGGCCCTGTCCCCTTACTCAGCCACTGTCCCTTTCCCTTATCTCAACCACTGTCCCTTTCCCTTATCTCAGCCCCTGTCCCTTTCCTCAGCCCTGTCCCCTTCCTCAGCCCCTATCCCCTTTCTCTGCCCCAGTCCCCCTTCCTCAGCCCCTATCCCCTTTCTCTGCCCCTGTCCCCCTTCCTCAGCCCCTATCCCCTTTCTCTGCCCCTCCCCTTCCCCACCCCTTCCTCAGCCACTGTCCCCCCTCTCAGCTCCTGTCCCCACCCTTTCTAAGCTCCTGTCCCCCTGCCTCAGCCCCATGCCTCCCCACCACAGCCCCCATAACATCCCCACTACAGCTCCTCTCCCCCAATTGCAACCCATATCACCCACACCACAGCCCCTTTCATGTCTGTTTAGGTGAATGCCCCATCCTTTCAATCACATGGGAAAGGTGTTTTTACTCTCCTCTTGGTGCAATGGGCCACTTGACTGGATTTGCCCCCCAGGCCTAAGGTTGCCAGCCCTCCCCTGATTAAGCTCCACTCATTGTCAAGTTTAGTCTACCTGCCTGTTATACACAAGGAAATGTAGGGACTATTTTTCTTATTTAGTTTATGAAAATTAGAGTACTTCGGGAAAAATAAAAAAAACCTAGTCACATGGAGTTACATAGAAGCAGATTTCTGGTTACAGTGACGCTTTAATAGTCTCTTGATGTCCGATGAGTTTACAAATTAATGCAAAGCAATGGCAAATGAAAAATATGAAGCCAGGTGACACACACTTTTCATTTAGCCAAATATTTTTAATAAGGAACACTGTACATGTCTAATGCATGTCTTTAAAGTGTGGTATATACAACACCGGACACACACACACAAAAAACCATATCCACCATGAAATGCATTAAACTATTGTAACAATTACTGACCACGGTTTTTGAGAATGATGGCAAGCAAAAAGACAATAACTGGAGGAATCGTGTCCAATCCAGGCTTATATGTTCCTAAACCATATCAGTTGATATAGTACATATACTAAAAGGAATACAGAATATCTTAAATAATTTAAAACCGCAAAGGAAAAATATTACATTTGTTTTTTTCGTTTTTTTACTGAAACATTACATCATTTGATATGTAAACTGAAATGTTAAGAAACGTCCTAAGTGACATTAAGAGCAGAAGGAACGTGCAGAAATAGATCATTTTAAATCATTAAACATTGTTTTAATTTCCTTTTCTTCGGTCTTTCTTCTCTCATATTAGTATTAATAGAACTTGGTTTATTATTCCAGAGATCTATATTTTCTCTGTTGAAGTGTTTTTCGGGTAACTGCCTAGAGCCCAATATCTTTCTTCCAACACAGTTTTGTGTAATATTGCACAGAGACATCTTGTAACATTGCCAAGCAGAGTGGTGCTCTGCTCATGTATACCATCTCCATTACTGGAAGAAATGTGTTAGAACTTTAACTTCATATTAGCAATTTTTTGTTTGTTTTTTTGTTTTTAAACATAACCTACAGACATAGTAATGTAGTCCAGGAGGATTTGTGCTCCACTAGCCAGCTAAATCTAGAATAATAGACTGGTATAGTGCCACTCACAAGACTCTGGCTCTTTCAAAATGTAAAGCATCTCTGAATATCGAATAGAAAATGTTTTCATATACATCTCTATGATCATGCCAGTTTCGTTAATTTTTCCATAACTAACCCATGTAGTGTGGTCATGCACTGAGTAACCCCAAACATAACAATTTTGTTCTATATTTGTCTACCACAGGAGCTTTAAAATGTGTGTCTAGACAGTGGGTTCTGCCAGTCAGCCACACATGTTAAAGGAGGTGTAGTATAAGCAAGGCACGATGTCACAGTAATACCATGTAAGTGGATAGAGTTGAGACGTTACCAAATCAAGAGGTGTGTTAAGGGTAAATGCTATTTTAGCTTCACTGGTTATATACAGGTAGCTCCCGACTTTACGAACTAATTGGTTCCGAAGCCAAGTTCATAAAGTGAGAACTAATTTCCCATAGACACAATGTAATAAACACGGGTTCTGTTCCTGACCAACAAATTTTACCATTGAAAACCTAAATTATTAAGTACAAATACAAACTGAAAGCATAGCAAATGCATGTAGCTTATATGAATTTTAAAGGAATACATACCATATTAAAAACCTTTATCAAATTATCATCAATCCTCATACTATTCAATGAAGAGACATGCTGCACTTGTTGAATGGGGGCACCTCTCTTACGCCCTCCTACTTATTCGTTTTCTTCTTTATCACTTCTCTTTTACTCCTTTTATATTTACAGCTCTCAAACTCTCCTCGTTCTCCTCTCTTACTTTCAAGCTTGCATCTCTTTTTTAGAACTTTTCTGTTACTCCTTTTATTTTTACAGCTCTCAAACTTTCTTCCTTCTCCCCTTTTTCAGCCCTTCTCCTGCTCCTTACTATTGCTTCCTGCCAAAACATGGCACAATGGCAAACACACTAACACACAGCTATGTCAGCCACACACAGACAAATCTATACTCAATAGCACACAGTGCAATTATATTACAGGATCTATGAAAGCAAAAAGAGAATACAGTACAATCTAAACCTGTTTTTTAGTCTTCTGTGTTCCTGATCCTTATCTCTCTCCTTGTCTACTCCTGACGACAAATTCTTCTTCTTCTCTTCTTGTTTGTGCTGACACAAAATGGCGGCGAAACAAAATGGCAGCGAAACAAAATGGCGGCGCATAAAAGAAAAAGTTCATAAAGGCGGGAGTTCATAAAGTGAGAAATGCCTGTACACTAGTCTCTCCCTAATCTCAGGTTTGGTTACTAAAGTGGGAATTGTTAAAATTTCAGAGTAAAATAGCTAAACTGGAAGCACAGCTAACTTAGGGGGAAAAATGTTTACAGTTCAGATATTCTGCCAGTAAATTTTAAATTCACTTCTTATTCGCTTGTAATTCCTGGCACTTTTTACTTTAGTGCATAACCCTCTTTGTGTTTTAGAATTAACCAGTACCCACCTTTGGCATTATTTATGGTATGTTAAAGTGTGTGGCTTTGTAAAGCAGATGTATTTTTAATGTTAATCTGCTTTACGATCGTTGTGACAGATGTATATTAATAGGAAATGCAGTCAAATGCATTGGAACACATAGTAGAGAGCTCTATTTTTATTACCTGCTCTAATCACAGTGCTATCAAACTAGTGAAATAAAACTTTACAATATGTTCCTCTGTTTTGTAGAAAACAGACACCATGAATATAATTTTGATCACGGTTTATACAAACATTTCATGAATATAGGCTTGTAGTCGGCCAGATTAAGAGCCCAGTGGGTTTGGTGCCGACAATTATGGGGGGCCTAAATACAGAATCTTATCGACCAAAAACACTAATTCAGTCATATCTCAAGCGTTATGTATCTGGTGGAGATGTTGCCAGAGGGAAACTCATAGAATGCAGCAATAAGAAAACTCAGATTATCCTAAAATATGCTAATCTCTCTCTAATTCATGCTTTCATCTTTCAAGTAAATATATACCCCCTAACAGCAGTGTACAGTGAAGTCGGAAGTCAATGGGCGGTGTAAAAAGGTGGGCCACTGATGTGGATCATGTAACCAGAACTTCCAAGAAGGACGAACATGCCCAAAAAGGAGGCGTGTGCCCAAAGAATTGGATGGCTAGCCTGGCATGAATGAATGTCGGGCTGCCTGCCAATCATGCATGCTGGCCAACAGCTTTCTGAGCTTAAACATAGAAACATAGAATGTGACGGCAGATAAGAACCATTCGGCCCATCTAGTCTGCCCAATTTTCTAAATACTTTCATTAGTCCCTAGTCTTATCTTATAGCTAGGGTAGCCTTATGCCTATCCCACGGATGCTTAAACTCCTTTACTGTGTTAACCTCTACCACTTCAGCTGGAAGGCTATTCCATGCATCCACTACCCGCTCAGTAAAGTAATACTTCCTGATATTTTTAAACCTTTGTCCCTCTAATTTAAGACTATGTTGTTGTGGTAATTTGTCTTCTTTTAAATATAGTCTCCTCCTTTACTGTGTTGATTCCCTTTATATATTTAAATGTTTCTATCATATCCCCCCCTGTCTCGTCTTTCCTCCAAGCTATACATGTTAAGATCCTTTAACCTTTCTTGGTAAGTTTTATCCCGCAATCCATGAACCAGTTTAGTAGCCCTTCTCTGAACCCTCTCTAAGGTATCAATATCCTTCTGAAGATACGGTCTCCAGTACTGTGTACAATACTCCAAGTGAGGTCTCACCAGGGTTCTGGACAATCACATGAGCACTTCCCTCTTTCTACTGCTAATACGTCTCCCTATACAACCAAGCATTCTGCTAGCATTTCCTGCTGCTCTATTACATTGTCTGCCTACCTTTAAGTCATCAGAAATTTTCACCCCTAAATCCCTTTCCTCAATTGTTGGAGTTAGGACTCTATCAAATATTCTGTACTCTGCCCTTGGGTTTTTACGTCCAAGATGCATTATCTTGCACTTATTCACATTAAATGTCAGTTGCCACAATTCTGGCCATTTTTCTAGTTTACCTAAATCATTTGCCATTTGGCTTATCCCTCCTGGAACATCAACCCTGTTACATAAATGATTGGCATAAATGATGATACGCTCCCTCCGTGCTTTCGAAGGACTGTCCCCTAAGCACTCACATGTCCACTTGTCTTCTTACCTTCTTACTAGCAGGCAGAAGCTCCTGGTATATAGTCTGGGACAGAGAAAAGGTGGATGTAGTGAGTTTAGAAGAAAGGGAACATGCCACGGTGTTCGAGAGACCAAAGTCAGCATTACCTTAACTAATTTCATTTCAGCTAGTTCACACAAGTTTTGTTGCCATATACCCCTCTTAGGTTTCCATAATTAAGCAAGAGTATGTGAACAGTAGTTAGGGTAGCCAACTTTCTTGGAAAATAAATACAGGTCTTACTAATAATGTATGCGTGACATCACATGATGTAAATCACAAGGAGTGATGTAAGAAATTTCTGTAAAATCACCAAAAACCTACATAGTTAGATTCTGCTGTATAGATGGATTGCTCCCAGTGTCCCCATGTCACTAGAGGACACAGACATGGGGACATTGAGTCCCTAGTGTCTCATTGTGCCCATGTCTCCCAGTGTTCCCAAGTGTCTGTGTCCCCATGTCTTCAAGCATTCCCTAGTGTCTGTGTTGCCAGGTCTCAGGGTCTCCATGTGTGTATGTGTCCCTGTGTTTCTGTGTCCCCAGATGTCTCCGTGTCCCCATGTCTTACAGTGTCCCCTAGTGTCTCAGTGTCCCAATATCTCCTGCAGCCTTTACCCCATCCCTCACTTCCCTGAGCTGTAGGCTGTCTCGACTCTGTGCTGTACAGCAGCTCCCCCACGGATCAGTAAGTAGAGAGATGCAGGTATATGCTGTAACTTTCTATACCTGCCTCTCTACACACACAGCGACCCATACTGGCCGGTGTTGGTATTGCAGAGTAATTTCTTTGTATACTGAGAAAAATACAGGCATTTGTATTGCCGGCATAACTGCACCAGCTAGGCAGCCTCAAATAAATACCGGCTAGGTGGCAACTCTAAGAGAAGTGTGTAAAAAAAAATAAAAAAAAAAATCTACAAATAATGGGCCTATTCCATGGGCCTGGAGCTGCAGCTCTATCAACACTTTTGTTAATCCGGCCCTGCTTGTAGTCCATTATCTTATCACAACAAGGCTCTAAAGCTTAAATTTGTAATAACCATTTTAGATGTAATATCCCTTTTAGTTGTATATCAAAAAGCCAAGGCAAGGACTGTGGAGAAGACAACAGATTAGATAAATCAACGTATAGATTACCGGATTCGTCAAATAAGATTTATTGGATTTTTATTTATGTATTCACATAATACTGGACAATTGTGCATGAACATTTTCAGAGCATAAAAAGTTAAACACTTTGTAAACTGTTCAAATTCATGTACAAATCAATTAGGACAGTGCTGGCAATCTTAATATGCAAAGCTTCACAAAAGAAAAAAACAGACAGATCAACCAAAATTTTCGGAAAAACAAACAGATCTGTAAAATGAACATGATTCAGAAGCCAATACTTAAAATCTGAACTCCCATGTACCATTAAACAATTTATTTTAGTTATAGTAAAAAAGAAAGAATGAAAATTATTATGCTTTTCCAAGAGTTAAATAAAATATGGCTGGGAGACACACACCACATAGCGTTTACCTGGCTATGACTCACAGACATACCTTGTGAGACTTCGAGGAAGATTTATAAATGCCCACAAATTCACTTTCATATCACATAGTAAAATTTGTATGTTTGAAACATCCTGAAGGGGTCAAAATGTAAACATTTCGGTCTGCCTATGGTGTTTGAATACATATTTTGTGGTTTATGCTGTCCTGAAAATTCAAGTTTAATTACTCCAAACCATTGTCTATAACCACTTCTTGTTGAAGTTCAACCACCTTCTATGCTATTTAACTAGTGTCACCTTAACTGCTTTTGGCAACTGCTAAAAGATGCTGAAATAGGTACAAAACAGTCCAGATTTGTCCTCTACATAATTTTAGGATTTCTTAGACTAATACTATGCATACTGCTTTAAAAGGTTTGTAGATTTACCCCTTAAGGCAGTATGTTTATAATGTTACATTTACTATGTAAATGCAGCCCTGCAGAAGATATTTACTTTAAACAACTCAAATTATGCATCATAATTACCCTATTTAAAAATCAGGTGCCTCCCCCCAATCAGCAATTTAGACACCCCATTGGTTTTTCTTGGTTGTAGCTTGTACTGAAATAACGGGCCTTACTAAACAAGCAGAGACAAAAGATTGTATTGAACTCTGATAAAGATTTAGCCATATTAACCACTCACTTTATTTTACTATTTAATAAGTTTACATATAAGAAATCTCTATTTCTAAGAGTTCATTTTAAGCAATTACTGTATCAAAACAAAACAAAACTGACATCTATAAAATATCCACCAAACTATCCATTTTTATATATGCCAGACTCCCAGCAGAATATAACAAAAGGGACTTCCAATAAAATTCAATAGAAATTAATTACAATTCTAGCAGACTCTGGATAAATTGGGTCTCATAGCTCTAGTACTGAGGTAATAGGAGTACTAGTAGGCATGCCAAACTGGATTATGCAAGGGGGTCTGGGGGGGGAGGGGGATTAAACAACAATGAAAATGATTGCCTTAAAAGTAAAGGAGAAATTATATAAGTGTTGAGATACGCATTCTAATAATCACAATGTAATAAATCTATGGAAGGACTGGTAGCCACTGAAACATGCAATAGTAAATTAACAGTCTTCTGATTTAATGCATGGCTACTTTGTGAATTAAGAATTATGATAAGTATGAAGCATTCCATAATTTCTGCTACAGCAGTCCCTGCATGCCCTGTTAAATTGTAATTATTAAAATGGGAGTCAAACCTACTAGGAAACAGAGTTTGCAATCTGTATACAGGGCTTGAAAATGTCCACTCGCCATTGGCAAGTATAAATCCACCACTTGAGTGTGGCATGTGCCCTCCAGCCTTGCATTGGCGAGGACATAACATAATGAGCCCTATGTACAGCAATGGATATTTTACTGGCTTACCAATAAAGACAATTTATACATAATACCAATAACAAAATTCTGAAATCATTCTATTTTTCTTGTTAATTGTATGGAATAAGAAAACATTGAGGTAACATTTAGCAAGTGCAATTACAAGATTTTGAAAACTATGTTACATAGTTCTTGAGAATGTCCTCTTTTCTCAGAATTTCAAATTGAACCAAGGCAAATTTATAGCAGCACTTGGCAATGTGATTCAATTAATGTTGGGAAACGAGTAAAGTGGTAAAAACCCATTCTATTATATGCACCAGTACTGGTCATAGTTGGCACAAAATAGGAGGTGCTCATGTTTGTGCGTTTAAGAAAATAATTTTCAAATTATGCTACACATTCGTATTTATCTTTTTCTCTTTTGTAGCATTTAAGGATTTGTTGCACTTGGCAATCAACACTGCAGTCTTTCAGATCTTGTTCTGCAGTGATGCAGAATTTTCCACTTTGATGCAATAATTCAGCTTCTCTGAAATTTGTAAGTTTATAAATAACTGCAAAAATTGAATGATTCGGTAGATTAGTATTTGACACACACGCACACACACACACACACACACACACACACACACAGAGCTTTAAACCAGACCATTATTTAAACCTATTGAATAATATTTTGTATAAGGCATGGCTGACTTTGCCGTTTTTACAGTATGCAATGTGTTGTATAGATGTTGAATTTTATTAGGGAATTAATTAAGTCAGTGCAAGAGTTGCACGTTTATTTAGAATGCTGCACCAGACTACGTCTTATATCAACACTAGTAAGAAAAAGGACAGATATGAGATCACAAATAATCAGACACCCTGAGCGATCACTTTTCAATATCGGGGTAAAAATAAAAAATACAGAGATAAATTCTATCCCCTCAGACATATTTTATCTATAGTCTTTTACCCAAAGCTGGGGTAATATATCCCATTCACATGTTTATTTTCTGTGTCTGAGAAATCTATCCAGTACTTTTGTGGCAAATCAAGGTAGTTTATAAATTACCAACTGCCTTTATTCAGGTAAATGACCATGCAGAACCATTTCTTATGTGCTTATGGAATAACTGATCTGCACAGTTTCAAATTATGGTCATTTAAAGCCACGGTTTGTTCTTAGACGTATGGTTAACTCAGCACATACATTGGGCACATACAGTACTTTTAAGTTTGGATGTGTCGACAATTTATAACGTAATATGCTGTTCTGGTCCCACAACAGTTTAAATGGCTAACATTACATCGTTAAAAATGATAACACGTTATCATATTCACAAATCTAATAATATCCAAGGTGGTTCCAAGATGGATAGGTGTTTTCCTTTGGGCCTCACTAGGTTGCAAATAAACATCTCACTGGAGGATGTAAAGGTAGTTAAATTCAAAACAGATAATTTTTTGCTCATTTAGTAAAATGATTAGGATTTAGTTGCATTATTGGAATATCACACTTCCTGAAGATTCAGTTTGCAAATAAAAGGAGAGCGGAAGGATCCCATGTATAAATATCCATCATGTTCATGGGCTTCGCTAATGAAGGTAACCACCTCTCCATTGGGATCGTGAAAACTTCTTTTATAAGCTCCCTTCTCACCGAGTTCTACAACAAGACTGTATCTGGGAACAAACTTCATCACTGTATCATGGCTGAATAACTGTTGGAAAAATAAAATAATCAGGATACATTGCAACAAGAAGACAGATGCATTTTTAATTCTGTAATCTCAAATAAATAGAGCAGTGAAAGTAATGTGTATGTATATATATATATATATATATATATATATATATATACATACACATTACTTTCACTGCTCTATTTATTAGATAGATTTTTTAGAGATAGATTTACTGTGCATCATCTGCTTATCACACACACACACGATAAAATAAAAGTTAAAGTTCAGTTACAAAGATAATACTCATTTATTGAGGAATTTGATGAAATATTATACACATAAAATTCTTAATTCAAGCAAGTATTTAAATATAGAGTTGTTCAAATCACCAGAATACCATATTGTACTTCTCTTAGCATATAGTTATATAAATTTTAATCACATACCTTAAATACAATTCTTTTAAGCCACGGTTTATTAGCCAAGAAATCCAACATGGAAAATCCAGGATTGAGTCTCACAGCAGACATGGCAACCCAGTATCCTCCCGAGCTACTGAGCCGTATGTTATCAGGAAAACCTGGCAAGTTGTCCATAAACATGTCTACCCCACCTTTTGTAAGACCAGACACGTAATATCTAGTGAAGGTAAAGAGAAACAATGACCATCAGTGCAAACCTACTATTGTTCATTATTTTCACAAAATTGTGGGTTTGATACCTGTAGTTAACATTTAAATTGGCACTTTAAAGGGACACTATAGTCACCAGAACAACTGCAGCTTAATGTATTTGTTCTGGTGAATATAATAGCTCCCTTCAGGCATTTTCATGTCAACACTGCCTTTTCAGAGAAAAGGCAGTGTTTACATTGCCCCTAGGGACACCTCTAAGTGGCCCTCCTTAGATGGCCACTGGAGGGGCTTCCTGCCTCAGGGCTGCACAGTAAGCAATCCTGCCATTCAGCGTCCCCATGCTCTGCATGGGGAGGCTGAATTTTCCTGCATTGATTAAATGTATTCCTATGAGGAGGTGCCGATTGGCCAAAATGATAAATGGCCCTGCCCCCTTGCCAATTTTAGCCAACCCAATGCATTTCTATGAGGAGGTGCCGATTGGCCAAAATGGTGACAGATGGCAGACCCGTTAAAATAAAAATAAGTATGAAGCGTTAAGGTGCGTTTTAACCCATTATGAGGGGACAAGCCACCTAAATGGTGGCTTTTCACTATAGGGATAGACGGCTGATGGAGTTTCAGGACAGAGATACTCTATAATGTATGGCAGTGGCATGTTCCAAGTGGGCTGGTGATTCTCAGCTTTCCCTAGAGATATTGCTTTTGTTTGTGCCGGCTATATAGAGCCAGGTCTGGGCTCTGTTTGCTGTAACTAGCCACTACTACGCCATCATAGAAGACAACACTATCTTTAGATGATGATACACATTATGTTCTAGTTATAACAGCGAGTTGCTGCGCTAGTCTTAAAAAGACATACACATATTATGTACGAATTGATTTTTTTTACCATCAAATGATGCAATGACAATTTATATGCGTGTTATTTATATATTGATCTGCACCATATTGTGATCTTAATTTTTTTCACTGCCACAGAACTACATATTTCTTAAATGAGGAGTTAAACAGACTATATACACATTAACAATAATGCTAGTTATGACATTAGACAGGCAATAAGAATACCAATTCCAAACCTCTTTATTCGTGCCATTGTAGTTTCTGCTACAAGCAAGAAATCTTCGGCTGGAGAGAGCTGCACGCCATTGGGGAACCTTAATCCTCCCATCAAAACCTTAACTTCCTTTGTTATTCTGTCATACTCCAGCAATCTGCATGTAACACATAATTATAGGATTTACTCAATCCAATCACTCTGTTATAGATAAGTGGACACTGCTTTACAGCTGTCAAAACATGTGTTTACTCTTTCCTAGTTTTATTCAAAGTGAGAATAAGCCAAGTTATGCATTGTACACATGGAATGAGGTCAGTAGAATGTTGGAAAAAGAAATATGCCACAAATATATACATGGTCTTTTACTGGACTAAATTTTGAAATTACAATGTTTGAAGTGATCCTCCTTTTTAAAAAAGCAATTGCTATACTCTACCCAAATACATACAAGCACAGATCACGGTCAGATAAAGATTCAGATTATTTTATTTATCTCCCAATTTTGATGATGTCATTCTCCCCCCTTCTTCATTTAATACAAAACGATAATGTATGTCCACACAATATATATATATATATATATATATATATATATATATATAGATATATATATATATAAACAAAAATAGTAACAAAAATAGTAATGCACTCCACCTTCCTTGATGTACTTGCCCGGTGCTTATCAGCAAACAGATACAGCCAAAAGTACAAGATAGCACTCCAGGGACTTCCAAGTTGAATGAATAAAACTTAGCTTTTATTAGCTCAAAATAAAAATCGTTTCAGTCTGTATACACTTCTGTATATGTATATATATATATATATATATATATATATATATATATATATATATATATATATATATATATATATATATATATATATATATATATATATACACACACACACACACATATACATATACACATATACATATACATATACATATACACACACACACACACACCAGATTTTTTTTTTCTCATTGTCCCAAAACAGCAATCTATACAAGAAATAGCAAATTGTATGTGCTTGCTACCAGGCCTACTTTTTTTGTTTTTAAATAAGATCTATACAGTTATGATTGAAAAACAGTTCAGTAACTTAGCTCTCCTAGTGACTACTTTGCAATGAAAAGTTTACTTAACCCCTTAAGGACACATGACATGTCATGATTCCCTTTTATTCCAGAAGTTTGGTCCTTAAGGGGTTGAAGGGACACTATAGTCACCAGAACAACTACAACTTATTGAATTTGTTCTGGTGAGTAGAATTATTACCTTCAGGCTTTTTGCTGTAAACACTGTCTTTTCAGAGAAAATGCAGTGTTTACATTATAGCCTAGTGATAACTTCACTGGCCACTCCTCAGATAGCTGTTCGAGAGCCTTCCTGGGTCATGGCTGCCTAAAATGCATCCAAACATTCAGTATCTCCTCCCTCTGCATTCAGACACTGAATTTTCCTCATAGAGATGCATTGATTCAATTCATCTCTATGATGAGATGCTGATTGGCCAGGGCTGTGTTTGTATCATGCTGGCTCTGCCCCTGATCTGCCTCTTTGTCAGTCTCAGCCAATCCTATGGTGAAGCATTGTGATTGGATCAGGCTACCACTTCTGCTGATGTCAGCAGGCAGGCCTAAATGAAACAGGGACAAAATAAGCAGCAGCAGACTTCAATACAAGTAAGATTTTATATCTAAATATCTATATGTAGGGAGGCATGAGGGGACCAGGGTAGCTAGATGGTGGTTTTAACCCTATAGGGTTTGTGTTCCTGACCCATAGTGATTCTTTAACACAATGCATGATTAATAAAGTAAAAAACAAACAAAGTGACAGCTGCTGGGCTGTGGCTCAAGCGATAGAACAAAACAAAAACAAACACACACAACTGTGAGACCCAAATCAGAGACTGCTGATGGGCATATACTTTTTCATTTTACTACATGCAAATCTCATTTTTATAATTTTTTTATCCCCCCCACACCCTTCGCCCCTTTATTTATAGAGGGAGATGTAATCCCTGTCAATCATCTGCACCTACAGTCACGTGAAATAAATACAACCCTTCCTGTGCATGTGAAGTAGATTGAACTTTGAAAGTTTTATATATATTTAGATATTTGTGCTTTTTTTTTTTTTTTAAATTGCATTATTGTATAAAGTTTTGAAAATAGGGGTATTATACACTATATTGCATGCCTAAAGCAAATTAAGAGTTAGTTAGAAGGATGAGTTTAAGTACTTGCCGTCCATCATCTGTTCCCTCCATAACAAGATATGGATAATCCCTTCTCTGCCATTTGCTACTGGAATCTGTGAAGTAGATCTTCCTTCCATCACTGGTCACAACTAGATCATTTACAAAGGACATTTTCTTTCCTTGGACAGGTGTCTCTGAAGACACAAGCTTCTCCACCGCACCTAAACCCAATTTTTTGTTAGAGTAGGGATATCTACTTTAAAGTATTTAACACAGTAGTATCACAATTTCTGGTTCACACACCTGTAACAGGGTTTACTTCAAATATTCCCTGGTAAGCGTCAGCAACAAAGAGCGTTCCATTAGGACCAACTCGAAGACCAAGGGGTCGTCCACAGTTTGGTTCATATTCACGGGTTCCTATTAGAAAAGACACAGCAATGTGTAAACTGAGTGACAGAATTTATTAACGTAGTTTTTTTTTTGTTTTTTTTTTACGTACACTTTTTCTATGTACACATAAGGCCTATTTCTCTCAAATATTGTTCACAAATCTGTCTAATCAGCATCTTGATATGCCACACCTGTGAGGTGGATGGATTATCTTGGCAAAGGAGAAGTGCACACTAATACAGATTTGTGAACAATATTTGAGAGAAAGGATTTTTGTGTACATAGAAAAAGTCTTAGATCTTTTAGTTCAGCTCATGAAGAAAATGGGGGCAAAAACAAGTGTTGCGTTTATAATTTTGATCAGTGTATATTAAAAACTCTCCCATTAAGGGTATTTGCCCGATGTGCATGATAAGAACAATGCAGACAAAGGTTATCACTACAGTCCCTACTCCAGCTCATGGAAAAACACAGAATTCTTACAACTCAAGTAAAGCTGATAAGAGAAGCAGTTTGCAACACTAGGGAAACTCATTAGTTCATAGCAATTGAAAACTAAGCTTTGGCAATACTGTATCTTGTTCGAACATGTCTCTGATGATGGGGTAGATATGTATTGCATAAACACAACACAGGAATTTTAGTGAGCTGTGAAATGAAGCATGTTTTTTATTCCAGATAGATTTGTTGAATGGATTGTTCATAATTACTTTGGGGTCAAATGCCAACTTGCTTGTTAACTCCACATATTCAAAATCGCAGCCTGCAAGCGCAACTGCACAGGGCTCCTAGCATTCATTCCCTCCTTGATTTCATAGATTTTTAGCAATCCCAGCACTATTATATATCTATATATATCTCTACACAATAAATGCAGTAATTTACTGCATTCTAAGTGATAAATACGGATGGATAACATAAGCCTTACAAGGAACACTCCAAGCACCATAATCACTAAAGCTTGCTGTTGTGATTATGGTGCAAGAACTGCCACTCCCATGGGCTGTTCCCAGCCTCCATTAATAATTCCAAAGTTCCTAAACTGGAACTATCTTCAGCTCGTTGCCTGAGGGTGTCAGCTGATGTCCAGCAAGCTGTAGTAGCTGAAAAAATGGTCATCTAAAAGTGCTTACCGCATGGGGGTCTGCCAAGTTTAGCAATTGTGTGAATTTGTCCATCTTCAATCTTTACAATCTGCCCATCAGCTGTTCCAGTGAAAAACACATCTAAATAAAGAAAGCATTGTTAGCAACTCAAAGTCCTGAATCTGCAGTGGTTATGGTGGTTTGATTGTTTCTCCAAGAACCATTATTCACAACTCTATATTATCCTAAAAATTATGATAAACAGATATATCCAATAACAGAAAGAGGCTGAAACAAAACTTGATAAGGGCTACATTATTATCATAAATGTAGCACCAATATATTACAAGTGCTTTAAAATGTTTGCATTTAATAAAGTGAAGCTTTATCACTGAATGAATGCCCACAATAAAAGACATTGGACTCCATTGCAACATCGTAAATAATGTCTTAAATGTTTTAAAAGGATTACCCAACAATGGATTACACACAAAGAATTTGAATGATTATAATAAAAGCAGACAAGGACACTGCTTACAGTAAATTGTGAACAAGTTTCTCAAAATATTTTACCTCATTGCAATATTGAAACAATCCTTTCCAAGTCACATAAAGCATATCTACATTCCACATTGACAGTTGCATGCTGCTAGCTCCTATTTATCCATTACAATGAGAGGGTTTATATAAGTTTATCATGTACTAAAATATGATGGGGTATGGTTATCTCTTCATACAATGCACCTACCTCCAATGTTTGCAAGGGATTCTGGCCCAACAAGTTGCCCCTCATACAATCGTTCAGCTTGTCTTAATTTCACATTTTGCTCAAGGGCACCTGTCATAAGAGGAGGCACATGGTAACTAGAGAAAAAAAAAAAAAAAAGTTGTTTGCAAGAACGTTAAGCAAAAAAACAAACAAAAAAAAAAAAAAAAAAACACAACACACATTTTTAAATGTATAAAAAAATAAAGAAATTACTGAACTGTGCAATTGTCGAACACAAAAATAACCCCTTCAGTAAAAGCCATTAATCAGGAAGTAGATTTTGTCTGATAATTTCGTCCAGCATTTGGATGATCATAACTGCTGTGCCATATATGAGCTTGTTGGTCTCTGTGATGGTGTTAGTCGGGATGCAAATAGTGCCTAATAAACCACTGCTAGCATACAGTCTGGTGGCAGATTGTCAGGTAATCTTTCAGCGGTCAAGATCAGCTAGCTTCTCTATGAAAGTCTTACTTATTTCAAAAGGCATCCCATCTTAGGGTACAGATGTAGGCAATCCTTTAAGTACAGGTGTGGGCATGTAAGTCTCATCTGCCTCTTGCACGTTCTGTTGTGTGGTCCAGGGGAGCCAAAAAGGTAGATTCCTAGATGTTGTAGAACTAAGTTTCTTTAGAATGACAAAGTATCATGGAAGCTGTAGTTCTACAACATCTGGGATCTACCTTTTAGCCCCTGGTGTAGGCAGCCTAATTCCAGTCGTGACACCGGTTAACAGTTAGGTGACCAGAGGGAAGAGTTTAAAAAAAAATAAAATAAAAAAAATTAAGTATTACAGACAAATTTACTTAACCGAACCGGTCCTTCGCAGGTGCCATCTTGATCTGGCAGGTCCTCTTCGGTGCCGAAGTCACTGTTGTACTCTTGAGCGAGATCCTGCAAGACTTTCCCATAGACACAGCCAATTCCCTGCAGGCGTCACTGGTGATGGCTGTCAGGATTAACACTTAGACTCCTTACCAAGTCTAAGAAAGTCAGGCTGAGGAGATATACAGAGACAAAGTAGTCCCTATTTTGTCTCATATCTCTTGACTGGGTTGGAATTTCAGTAAAATTCAAGCACAGTCAAAATAATTATTTCTTAAACATTCTATCTTTATCAAATACAAATTTTTCAGGGAGGGATGGGTGGGTGAGATGGGAGTAGATGACAAAACATATATTGCATCTCTATGATAAACATATTAATTGCATTAAGGGCTCTGTCATGACAACTTTAAGATTTCCCGCCTCTTTTATATAAATAAAAAATAAATAAATAAAAACCCTCAGAACATTCTGCTTTTTTTGACCAGAGCATGAACAGATGCATATTTCACAATCCAGCAGACTAATTTCAGAAAACAGACATGAATAAAAATCTAAACAAGTGTGGTCGAGTATTACCGTATATACTCGAGTATAAGCCGACCCGAATATAAGCCGAGGCCCCTAATTTTACCCCAAAAAACTGGGAAAACTTATTGACTCGAGTATAAGACTAGGGTGGGAAATGCAGCAGCTACTGGTAAATTTCTAAATAAAATTAGATCCTAAAAAAATTATATTAATTGAATATTTATTTACAGTGTGTGTGTATATGATGAATGCGCAGTGTGTGTATAAATGCAGTGTGTATATGAGTGCAGTGTGTGTATGAGTACTCAGTGTGTATATGAGTGCAGTGTGTGAATGCAGTGTGTGTGTGTGTGAATGCAGTGTGTATGAGTGCAGTGTGTGTATGAGTGCGCAGTGTGTGTATAAATGCAGTGTGTATATGAGTGCAGTGTGTGTATGAGTGCGCAGTGTGTGTATGAGTGCAGTGTGTGTGTATAAATGCAGTGTGTATATGAGTGCAGTGTGTGTATATGAATGCAGTGTGTGTGTGTGAATGCAGTGTGTATAAGTGCAGTGTGTGTGAGTGCGCAGTGTGTGTATGAATGCAGTGTGTATATGAGTGCAGTGTGTGTGTGTGAGTGCGCAGTGTGTGTATAAATGCAGTGTGTATATGAGTGCAGTGTGTGTATATGAATGCAGTGTGTGTGTGAATGCAGTGTGTATGAGTGCAGTGTGTGTGTGTGTGATGCAGTGTGTGTGTGTGTTGCAGAGCCTTGGTGGGGGGTGGGCATTTTTATAAAAAAAAAAATAAAAAAATTAATATTATTTATTATTTTAATTTTTTTGGTTATATTATTTTTTTAATAATTTTTTATTATTATTTATATATTAATTAATATTATTTTAATTTTTTGTTATATTATTTTTTTTAATTATTTTTTTATTATTATTTATATATTATTAGTTAATATTATTTTAATTTTTTTGGTTATATTATTTTTTTAATTATTTATATATTATTAATGTATTTATTTTTGTCCCCCCTCCCTGCTTGATACATGGCAGGGAGGGGGGCTCTCCTTCCCTGGTGGTCCAGTGGCATTGGCAGTTCAGTGGGGGGAGGAGGGGGGCTGGCAGAGCTGCTTAGCTCCCTCCTCCTCCGCGCCTCCTGCAGCTCTTCTGTCAGCTCACACTGTAAGTCTCGCGAGAGCCGCACTATGACCCCGCGGCTCTCGCGAGACTTACACTGGGAGCTGACCGAGGTGCTGACCGGACCGGCGCGGAGGAGGAGAGAGCTGACAGGAGCTGCAGGAGAGGTAAGTAACAGCTCTGCCAGCCCCCAGTCTGTATTATGGCAATGTAAATTGCCATAATACAGACAGTGACTCGAGTATAAGCCGAGTGGGGGTTTTTCAGCACAAAAAATGTGCTGAAAAACTCGGCTTATACTCGAGTATATACGGTAGTTGATAAAGCATAGTTGCACAATTGGAATACATGCACATCCCTTTCACAATTTCACTCATGCTGGAAAGCACAGTGGAGAAAAAAAAAAAAATGTGACTCTAGAAGCGGACTCTATTTAAAGAAAAAAACAATACAATGACTTTTCTGTGCAAGTTACTAATTGTGCAGTAGTGGATTAATGAGGCAATGATGGAAATATTTGATTTATTATAATCACAGTACACAGTCATTTCTTAGCAGGCTAAATAGTTAAAGTAAAACAAACCTGTACACATGACCTCAATAACAAGCTGACCGGTTTACTCAAGTGAGAACTGACAGGATTTCAAAGTAAACTTCAAAATTAGGCCAAAATAGTGAGTTTAAAGAATTCTCTAGTCAAAATTATGCTTTCAGTTTGGCTAAATTTGAAATACCAGCAATTCTCATTTTAGTGACTGTTTTATGTGCTCTATGGGGCTTTCATTCATTCAATGTCATGAATCAAAGGGAGCTGTTGAAAGATTTCTCCAAGTACTGAAATCTCAAACCGCTTGACATCTTACCAGGGGTTCGCCAGGCGCCTGCTGCCACCTACTGAGGAGCAAGAAGCTACTGCAAGCTCCACTGTGCCAACCCCTGCCATGCAGTACTGGCTCATTAACTGAGAGCGACAGCCAAAATGTGCCCTTGCACTGCAAGATTCTTCTCACTGCAGTGCTTTCTAGCTGCAGGTAAAGCAGCCCAGGGACCCAGCGGACCCGAGGTAAGCTGTCAAACCATACTCTAGTAGGGCACCAGTGCAGTCCTGGCATCATAACCACTACAGAGTGTTCTAATGGTTATGATGATTGGAGTGTACTTTTAGATATTAGCAGACAACACAGCACAACATGTGCTATGGTCAGTTCAGAATTATGCTTCTGTACAGAGAGAAAAAAAAATAAAAAAATGTATATATTATATATTTATTAAAAAGTTGATTTAAATAATGGATTTAAAAATGTGAGATTTAAATTAAGTTGATTTATATGAAAGTATCCTTTTAAATTCCATGTCCATGACCTTACTTCACACTCAATGTCAAAATACTTTGTGCAATATATTGCAAAATTAGAATTACAGAACAAAAAGCAGAGGGAACATGCTTGCACATATCCAGTTCAATATATTTTCTTCGTATAAGAGAAGATCCAGCACAATGAAAATGTTATGGCTGCAACAATTCTAGCATAATTGTTGTGTAAATGAGATAAAAACACATGAAATAATTTAGACTTAAGTATTCATAAAAATAAGAATGTTATAAATTAACACAAATTATTAAAGTACAAAACTAGTATTTTTTTCATTATTTCACATTTATAATTAAGCCAGTCTGATCTATAGCAGAATCCATAATTTATTAGCCAAAAGTTCTAATGAAAGATTAAGGAAAAATACTGCGACGTGCCAAAAATTGTATAGGTGAGGATATAAAACTAAAAAGGGCAACACATATTAGCAATTGTAACCCACGTCACAGAATGAAAATTACTGTATAAATGAGACTGTGATTTCCAAGCAGAGGGTAACATCCACCCATCACAATATAACCTTCAATCAGGGCTCCAGGAGAGCAGTATAGTGAGTGATCAGAAAATATATATATATATATATATATATATATATATATATATATATATATATATATATATATATAGATAGATAGATAGAGAGAACACATATATACATACACATATATACACACACAGAGTATATAGATATATCCTTCAGAAGGTTTCACTAATGTCATTTAGCTCAAAGCAGCAATGCTTACCAGAACATGATCAAGTATTCAAACCAAAAGTTCTACAAACGACTGATTGTCAATTAAGATAATCTCACTAGGAAGTATTTATTTATGCAAGTTAAAGACACATCATGACAGCATATTCACACATTTTGACATACCTTAAATATTGTGGATCAATGGGGCTATCAAGGAAACAGATAGCAGCCAAACATGGGATCAGCAAAGACAGTGCCAGAAAAGTTAATGTTGCTTTGAAGACTTTTCCACTGTATGTGCTGCAGGAAAAAAAAGTTGCAAAATGTTACACATCAGCTTACAGAGAACAACACTATCTATATACTAAGTAAGATTTAAACTGGTACAGTCGATATCTGACACAAAGCATTTACTGTTAAAGGTTATGGAGTCGGTGCTATTACACATAATCAAGAACAAATAATCCACTAACAATATATAATACATTCTCACAATTTTAGGAAACAGTTTATGTGTTTGTACTATAGGCCTGGTCTTCTCTCTGAGGCAAGCCAAGTGCTCATGAAACTTCCATTTGTTATAAGAACAGAGTTCTAATATAGCTTAGAATACTTCTACGCTATCACCTCCAGTGATCTCTTTATATTTTGCAAAGTTTCCCGAAAAGAAAAATCCACACTCCGTGTGCAGCAGCCTAAAGGCTGAGGTCAGGCAAGTTATACTTAACAGAATCTCTACCTCGAACATCCCATTATCTTCTTTATTCAGTTCCTGATGTGTCTGGCTGAGCTTGAATACCTGCTGTACTCTCATGCACACACAAGAAAACAACATAGGTATATAAAGGATCCTCCTGGCAGACCCTTCGTAGACCAGCCCTCACAACCCACAAGAAACTTTTTCCCACAGCTGTCACGGGAACTGACAAAAGACAAGAGTTCTGGCTTCCAAGTTTCGTCAAGTTCAGGCTTGACTATAGGACAAAGTAGGATTACTTTGTTTTACGGTAAGTCTTGACTGTGCTGGAATTTATATTAATTATTTTTCAGTGTCTTTGTATCTAACTTACACTGCAGATGTCTGTTCTCAAACATCTGTCTCTTTTAATGCATATTTACAAAGTGGCACCTTCTCTTCCAAAAAAATTTAATTTCCCTATATTTAACAAAATGTGCTTCAAAGAGAAAACGTTAAAAGGAACAGTAACAGTAGGAATACAAACTTTTTTTTTTCATGTTAGAGTATTAGACTACATATTTAGATGCACCCCCTTTCTCCCCCAGAATTCCTCTGGCCCTCCTTCCTGGTGGAGATCATCATTACTGATGAAGCCAATGCCAATCCTAGCACTGGAGGCTATTGCACACGCACAGCAATCTCTGCACCAATCAGTATCTCCTCAGAGATGCATTCATTCAATGCACCTATATGGGGAGCGTTCGGCATCACCATACCAAACATGTAGACGTTCTGCAGTCTTTGCAGTGCCACATCCAGTAAGCCCATCTTGTGGTTGTCAGAGTGAAAGCCACTAGATGGGGAGTTACGCAGCAATGTAAACATTGCCTTTTCTCACTGATGAGACTGTAGGGACACTAGAACCAACTAGTTTAAGTTGTAGTGGTTCTGGTGCCTAGAGTGTCCATTTAAAGCTGTAGCACATTTCTATCCGTTCATACGGATTTATGGGAGCAGTTCTACTCATATTACAAATGGAACTGCTCTAAAAAAATGATAGTAGCTATGCCACGGATACTATCAGTTTACACAGTGAACTGGGCTACATGTAGCTGTCAGCTGATCCACAGTCCAGGGCTTAGCGCTCTTTCCTGGGAGTGTGGGGGGACGGGGGGGACGGAGAGAGATTCCGTTTAACTAGAGCGTGCAGCATGCACAGACCCTACACAAGAGTTAGAAAAAATTAAACACATACAAACCGAAAAGGAGAATCAAGCTTGCCAGACTGACAGCTCTGAAGGGCAGGCTTACAGCTACAAAAATTATTTTCAGATTACAGTAAATCCAAACCACTATCAGAACAAAGAGTAGGCTTATGGTGCTCTATGCACCATCTCTTTTGTAAATATACAAAACTGTGATGGTCCTTTAAAGGAACAGTTCAAGCAATATCATAAATACAGCACGTTGTAGTGCTTATGGTGCGAGGAATGCCCTGGTGCCTGTAATAAGTGGGGGGACTGATTAACAGCCAAACTGTATGCCAACAAAGTGTAATGGTGTTCTAATACAGGGATTTATGCCCCATTCTACCCTTAGGCAACAATGGGGTCCTCTGTAAGCACATGACCTTTCACCAGGCAAAACTAGTTGGGTTGTTGATAAACTCCTCCTCCATTCCCTTCTAATGCAATCCCCCTTCCCCCAGAAGGCACTATGGTTCTGTTAGATCATAAGGCAGTGGTTCCCAACCCAGTCCTCAAGTACTCCCTAACAGTCCAGGATTTAAGGATTACTCAATTGTGTCTAAGGTGTTTGTGGAAGAAAAAAAAAAAAGAAAAAAAAATGTTAGACACAACAGGGTAATCCCCAACTCCTGCACTGGTAGGGGGTACTTGAGGACTGGGTTGGGAACCCCTGTCCTAAGGGACTGACTGGTGGAGGTGTGTCCAGCAAAAGGAAGGGCTAACCTGTTAAAAGTCATGTGAATAGCACATGCTCTCGCTCTTTGAATTTCCCTCTCCCCATTATACACAACCTCTCTCTCTTACTCTCAGCCGATGATCAATGGAGTGGTAACTGTATCACGTGTCTATGCCTGTTTCACTATGTTAATTTAGTTTACTTTCCATTCAATGAATGACTAGTTTGGTAGCAACATATACTGACCTAATTCAAATGTTTATGTATGGTTTATGTTTGATTAGCCTCTTAATAAATATTATTGAATTGCAGAAAGCAAGGAGTGTGGACTGACTTTACACTTGGGTTTTAAGTTATTATTTTTAGTTATTAATTCCATACGTTTACTACAGTGCCCCTCATTGTAAAGAGTCAAACTGTCTTAGAAGCCCAGCGAGAGGCTAGCCCATTGGTTGAGAGCATCAGCTGATAACAGCCTGTCAATCAGCTAAGCCTTACCCACAGCTCTCACTTAGCAGTAGTGGAGACAGGTAGCAGTACCTGTTGGACCCCATGTAAGAAGTCAAACAGTTTTAAAATGCTATAACTACTTACAGAAGGGGATGCCAGGGCACTTTCAGCAATATAACAGCTGCCGGTAAATGAAAGGGATTACAACTATCAAGAGCTTGCAGTGCATGCTGACAGAATTCATTTTTTGCATAGGACTCGAGAATAAACGGTGTAGAATTTGTTTTATATTTTTTTGTTAAATAATAAAAAAAAAGTTTGCACATGACAAAAAAAAAAAAAAGACAGAGCATATATTCCACCAAAATAAAGAGGGAGAGGGGGACAACAACATTCTTTGCAAGATTAGCATGCAAACATAATTAGTGTCATTTCAATGCTGGTTCATAATAGTCAACACTAATTTTAAAACTTTGCGTGTCAACTTTTAATTAGAGGAGTGTTTCTCCAACATTTTAATCCAGATTTATCAAATGACGCCAAATTACTCTAGCAATCAAGTTTGGGAAGACATTCAGAGCTCCTGCTATGAGCATTAAATGGTTTAGCAATATTGAATTACTGCACATTGGGAAAAAAGAATATCCTTTGCAAAAAGTGGAAATACTAGACTTGTAAATAGCATGGCTTACTTTCAGGTTGTAGGAACACAAGTTGGAGAAAGACAGGGTTATTTACGAATCACTGATTTTTAAATAATCAAAGGGACATTATAGTCACTAGAACAACTACAGCTTAAACGGACACTATAGGCACCCAGACCACTTCAGCTCATTGACGTGGTCTGGGTGCACTGTTCCTGTCACTTTTACCCTGCAATTGTAATAATTGCTGTTATTGAGAAACTACAATAATTACATTGAAGGGTTAACTCCACTTCCAGTGGCTGTCTTCCGGGTGGCCTAACTAAATCAATGCTTTCCTATGGGGTACTCCTAATGTGATAGCAGAGCTTGCAGCGCATGCACTTTAGGTACCCATCAACCTACGTTGTGTGTTCCTGACCCTATAGTGTTCCTTTAACCCCTTAAGGACACATGACATATCATGATTCCCTTTTATTCCAGAAGTTTGGTCCTTAAGGGGTTAAATCAAAACATGAAAATTGAGACTCAAATTGTTGATCTGAAAAAAACATAAAAATAATAATAATAATAATAAAAAAAAAAAAATAAAAAAATAAAAACACATCTCCAACTCCGCTACGTAGTATCATTTTGGAATTTTCATTTGTCTTAATTTTTCAGTTCAGATGTAATGTGCTGAAATCCAGTGTTTAAAGGAACTCTAAAAGAAAAATACCTACTACTGCTCGTTTTACTGGTTATGGTGCAAGGAGTGTCCAGTCACCCGCATTGGAACTTTTCAAACAAGCAGGTAAGGAGTCAAACATTCCAAAACAGTTTGACTACTTACAATGGGCCCCATAAAAAAAAATGAGATTAAAGTGTAAATAATTAGTGGTGTAGAGCCGGTAGTTATTATATGGCACACACACTCATTTATCAGTAATCACGTCATATACACACACAACTTGCATTCGCCTGAGCTTTGTACTACCGGCTCTACACCACTAATTATTTACACTTGGTTCCCTAGCAACTACGTTTTTTACGTACGTTGAACGTGGTCACGTCATCACGTAGCCCACGTGGTGCCCGTCGGACACTTCCGGGTTCCGAGCGGGGGGAGGAGGGTTACAACCACTATTGGTGAGTACTGTACATCTCTTCTTATATAAATCATGTTTTTTAATGTATGTATTGATCTTGAGGAAGACCCGAATGGGTCGAAACGTCGATCAACTTGTCACATTTTAAATAATGAAATAAATAATTTTGGAAAATTTAAAGACCGAAGAGTGCATCCTTCATACCTATCTACTATATTATTTCAGCGTGTGATTGCATCACGGCATTGGATTTCACAGTGTATCAGTAATGGTGAGTGCCATTATATATATATATATAATACATACATACACACACACACACACACTTAACATGTAACAATGGAATGATTTGTGGACCCAGGACATACTTGAAAACGAGAGAAATCTCAATGTATCTTTCCTGGTAAAATATTTTATAAATAAATAAATACTTGGCACACCACAAACAAACAATTAGAATAGTTCACTTGCCCGGGTGCAGAAACCGCGTTAAATATGTAATAAACGGAAAAAAAGGTGCCCTGCAAGGTCTCCCAAAACAAATATTATATATATATATATATATATATATATATATACATACATACATACATACATACACACACACACACACACACACACACACAAAATCAGAGGGGGGCAAGAAAGAATATTCTTGTTGTGATTACTACACATTAAGGAAAGGCACATTAAGGAAATACACTGAAAGGATAATTAGATAAGGGTTGTCAAACACCTGTAGTTCTAAAACCTCTGGGGGATCTAACTTTGGGGAACCCCTATATTAAATTAAATGTATGCTCTATAAGAAGCAGTGCATTTAGTAAGTCTGCTATTGAAAGTCACAGTATATGCACTCTGTACTCTGGGAATTCTGCGACATAAGAAATATAAAATAAATAAAGTGTGCAGTCTGGTATGTATGATGACATTACACAATCTGGGTAAATGTTGTCATACCCTTGCACACACTATCTTCTGCCCCCACACATTCACATCTTGATGAATTACCCTCACTGTAAGATGGGTCTGGCTATTATCCAGCAGCACTGCTGCTATGGACTGAGTGATGGGAGCTGTAACTGCTGTGGACTGGGATTGATGGGAGCTGTAACTGCTGTGGACTGGGATTGATGGGAGCTGTAACTGCTGTGGACTGGGAGTGATGGGAGCTGTAACTGCTGTGGACTGGGAGTGATGGGAGCTGTAACTGCTGTGGACTGGGAGTGATGGGAGCTGTAACTGCTGTGGACTGGGAGTGATGGGAGCTGTAACTGTTGCGGACTGGAGTGATGGGAGCTGTAACTGTTGCGGACTGGGAGTGATGGGAGCTGTAACTGTTGCGGACTGGGAGTGATGGGAGCTGTAACTGCTGTGGACTGGGAGTGATGGGAGCTGTAACTGCTGTGGACTGGGAGTGATGGGAGCTGTAACTGTTGCGGACTGGGAGTGATGGGAGCTGTAACTGCTCTGGACTGGGAGTGATGGGAGCTGTAACTGCTGTGGACTGGGAGTGATGGGAGTTGTATAGTCCATAGGCCTGCACTGGGTCCATTACATGGCAGACCCTTGGCCCAGGTCAGCTGACCACCATTAACCCTCCATTGTCCATACAGGGACTCTGATGCCTATCGGCAGACACTGGAAGCCGAACCGTCCTCTCACCTGTTCCTCTCGGTTTCCTGCACGGCTGCCTCATCAGTGACCACCTGGGGCCGGATGGGCCTCCGCTGCCGCAGACACTCTCCGTCTTCCATGGCCGTCTGGAGCTCGCGCAGCGCGCACACCAAGGGCAAGTGCCAGCCGCATCCACTATGGGCGGAGCAAAAGAAAAACCGTAAGGATGAAACAACCAATAGGAAGCTAGCTGTCAAACAGTTCGTCCAATAAGAAGTTAGATGTCATTAAAACTAGCCAATAGAACGAGCCACGGTCTTCCCACCAGCCTATGGGAGAATGTTTATTGTTACAGATTTCACCCATTAGGATGGAGGCTGCAGTCGCCGCAGGGATAGTGCTTTGCACTTCTGACCTGTCAGAGCTATTTACTATAGTGCGAAATCTTTCTAAGGAATTCAAAGGGATTTACTTATTTATTATTATTTATTAAATTTACACTACACTAGCCAAACTGAAAGCATTGGTGACTTGGAGAACTTTTCCAATTCTGATATTTTGGTCTAAAATCTAAGGGCTAGTGGGCCAAGTACTATAGACCCCATCTCCCCTCCCCCCACTGGGGGCTAATGGGAGTAGGGGCTGAAGTGAGGGGGTTGGAGCAGCCTCTAACCCCCAACCCCATACTATATAGACCCTAACTGCCCCCTCTAGGGGCTAATGGGAGTAGGGGCTGAAGTGAGAGGGATGGAGCAGCTTCTAACCCCCAACCCCATACTATATAGACCCTAACTGCCCCCTCTAGGGGCTAATGGAGGGTAGAGGCTGTAGTGTGGGAGATAGAGCTCCACGGCATTATATCTTGCAGCCGTTTAGTTGATAGCCCCCTAAATCCCAGGGAGTATTAAATTAGGGAGTAAGTAAAAAAATACTTATTATAAGTAAATAAGGAAATCTCCATCCTGTCTGCATGTCTATTAAACCCTTAATGACCGTGGACGTACTGGGGTACGTCAGACAAAAAACGGTAATTAACGACCGATGACGTACCCTGTAAGTCCGTGTCAAATTTGAGCGCTGGAAGCTATCGTGATCGCTTCCAGCCGCTCTAATGGTATTGCGCGATGCCTCGAAGTCGAGGCATCGTGGAATACCCCCCTCACTGCCGGGCAGTGTAGGGCAGAGCATCAGAAGCCATCAGCGGTCACATGGCTGCAATAGGTGTCCACAGTGACAGGCAGTCCCCCTGCTGGTGAAAAAAGTAAAAAAAATAAAGGTAATAAATAAAATAAATTAAAAAAAAAATATATATATATATATATATATATGTATATATGAGATATATATAATATATATATATCTTATATATAATGTCATACTAAGTGTATTTTTTATTAATATATTCATATATTAATATAAAAATACACTTGGAGTAAAATTCACATTTATATATATATATATATATATATATATATAATATTTATAATAACTATATATATTGTATAATTATATTATTACACAAAATAATTAAAAATAAATAAAAAACTAAAAATAAATTTTAAAAAATATATATGTAATTTTATTCTAACTGTATTTGATATTAATATATATCTACTTATATCAAAATACACTTAGAATGAAATTATATATATATGTATATCCCCTTGACGACCATGGACAGAAAACGGTTGTTAAGGACCGTCCGCGGCAAATAGGAGCCCTGGACTTACATGGACCGGCGATCCACGGCCATCACGAGCAGGGGGGACTGCTGGAGACCCCAGCAGTCACCCTGTAGCAGCCCTGGCCACCCTAGCCCTCCAAGGCCATGTGATCACCGTGATCACCATGATCACATCGCTGCAATAGGGGTCTAGGAGCTGTCAGGCAGTCCCCCAGGTAGCTAAAAAGTAAAAATAAATAATAATAAATGTATTATACATGTTATATATGTATAATATATTATAAAATAATTAAAGCATTTTATAATATATTACACATTGTGGGGATATTTATGGGATAATAATAGTAACAGTTGAGAATTGCCCACTAATTCAATTCTCAGATCCCAAAGAACGTTTATCGTGTTAAGTGGAATGTATTTCATATAAATAATCACAATGTATAAAAATAGATTTTTATTTATATGACAAATTAATAATAATAATATTATATGTAACATGCATAACAATAATCAATGAATATTCAGTATAAAACGATATGCAATACAAAGAAATGGGTATTACGTTTCAATGGCTAAACGGCATTATCTGTCAAGAATTCTGAGGATTTATGAGGTATCCTTAACATAGACTTTTCACAGCTAAGAACAGAATTCCTCAGAGTGCAGCGTAAGGTCGTAAAGTTTAGCAGACAGTTAGAATAACCCTTTCAATGCTGGCTAGATCTCCTAGGTAGTTAAGATCTATTCTTATGTATTTTTAAATAAAATAACATTTAAACCAGTTCACTAGTCATTTTCTTAAACCATCCATAAGAGAATTTACCACATTATATAAGCAGATTTTTAATTTGTCTAAAAGATATCTATCTTAATTTAGAGCAAATCAATACACCTGGATAAAAACAGCGGTATGCTAACACGTGATAATATCACATCAATATATAATTATTCTTAATTCCACCTGCAGAATGGAATGTTTATAACTATATATTCTTAGTTAACTAAGATTTCTTAATATGGAAATCTGACCGTGCTTTATCCAGTCATATATAATGCTATTAATACATTTTAATTAATTTAATTTAATTAAATGAAACCAGTATAATTACCAGTTGAGTAGATATTTCATCCGATTGGTAGCCTCAGGAACTTATTTGGATGTCTCTCTCTGCATTGGAGTCCCCAAACTTCCAATTCCTCTCTCCTCTTTTTCTTTGCATCTCTTGCATCTGCCTCCTCTGTCTTGTCTCTCTATCTTCCCTTTGTCTTAACTTTTAAAGGGCCAGACTCTCTGTACGTCATCAGTTGATAACCCAATAGAAGCACTAGAGGTGTGGTTATCTTCCAGATCGCAAATTAGTTATTTGGTCTGTAGAGGGCAGTCTTGTCCCACTAAACATACCTATCCAGGAAAGAGTTAACTTTTCCTGGTGGCTATTTTGACGTCATTTTGCGTTATCTTTATAGCGCCATAATTTAAAATTTCAAAGGGTTTCTTAAATTTTGTCCAGACTTAGCGTCTGCAATTCCTGCCATAATTTCTGATATGACAGATCATGAACTAAGTTTACCCTTTTCCATACAATGGTACCTTATATATATAGACAGTTAAATATTAAATTATTTAATCTTCTCTGTCACAATTGTCTGGGTTTAGATTTGATTATATTCCATTAGCATTTTAGACAGTCTATCCAACCCCCTTCCTTATCACTTGTTTGTATATACTATGCATTCCTCAGATCTGGGAAAGTGGTTAGCTTACAGATAGAAATATAGTGTCTTTTTGTTAACTTGAAATAACAAAATGGAGTCTGGTCTGTTCAGAGTGACTCAGAATATACACTTTTAGTTTCTATCATAGCACAAAATGTCTGCCGATATAAATACTCTGACATAACCCCCCTTTAGTGCATTTCATAGCCAAAATTAATTTAGCTTATGAATAAGCACTATGGAAGTTACCAGACATATTGTGCAATCACATCATTTCTAACATAGGCCCGTGCGTGGAATGAACATTTTTGTATATATTTGTACCTGTAAGAGTTTTGAACTTTACATTTAGTACAATCAACCATAATATCATTATTACATAGTACATTGTTTTCATTTGAAAAATGTCTTTGGGAGTTACATATGGTATGGCCAATAAAAAGCAAATCTCCATACGTTCCGGATCAATTAAGAGAGGTATAGCGCTCCCCATCTCAAAGGCCAGATTTAATTGCATAGGCTCAATTGTCTCTCCATCCACATTGGCAAGCATCGCATGAACAATATCCTTGGATACAAAATACAGAGGTATGCGTCCCCCTGCCAATTCGATCATTCCAGTTTGCACTTCGTCAAGAAAAGCAAGTGTGTGGAACAATATTGGGTCATGCAGAAATAGAAGTTCACGCTTAAATAAGTCATGACTTTGGATTTGGCAATTAACTCTGAATGCAAATTTGTTGTAACAACTGTGTCTTCCACAATAGTTAACACGTCTTGGAGAAGTGTTCTTTGCTGTTGTATCACCTGATGAATATCGTTAATGTGTTGCTTTAGCGCATAGATTTCCATATCCAGCTTTTGGACAGTAATAGAGTTGGCTGCAGACATTCCAGTTGCGACAACTGCACCGACAGTGGCACAAACTAATGCAACAATTATAGCGGTGAGGAACCTTTTGGGTCGGTTGCTCATCGGAATAGAACTGGATACAAATGGTTTCCGGGCTTGCTCCAAGATGTTTCGCACACGGTCCTGTGCTCTTTGGAGGTGCATCTGGTACCAAGTCTGTAACTCAGGAAGCTGCATCGATGAAATGTTGTATGCCTTCTCGATGGAAATCTTGGGGTCCAAGCTGACGAACACACGTCGGGTCAGGATCCTCTTCTCTGTTAAGATGAACCCTGGTGTCTCTTGAATCAGGATGCCGGAGGATGGTCCCATCTCTGCGATCGGGTCGGTCCGTAGCTCTTGGCACAGGAGCAGTACGATCCAGAAACACGCCACATCCTTCTTGGACATCTTTCGACAGTCACGGATCAGGAACTCGTTTCAGACTTATCTACTAATGATTCAAGGTTTGTTAAGCATACAAACTTATAACAGTGTGACATCACTTGGCCTAGGACAACACATTATTACGATTCATCAACATATGTATTCTGTCTAATTCTATTTTTATAACTTCATCTCTCACTACATTTATTACTGACTCTTCAGTAATTTGCCTATAGCAGTTAAACAAGCTAGTAACCTGCTTATAAAATGTAGTTATTGGATGGCAAGGAAATGGTTAATGACATGAACGTACATGAGATCATGGCACATCACAACATTTCACATCATACTATACCACGTGAATCAAGCATTCATCCAGGTTAGTCGTTCACCCTTCTGCGTCTGAATCCACACCTATAATCCTTAATTGAGATTTAGGATGACAAGCACGCAACTGGTTAATGTGAACCCACTTTTCAATAAAATCACCATCCTTAGGAATTTTTATCTTATACGCTACTGGGGAAATTTTGTCAATGATGACATATGGCCCTTTCCAAGAAGGTAAAAATTTCTTTTCCTTGACTTGATTTCGCGCAAAGTTATACAGATAGACTTGATCTGTTATCTCATATTCCTTTTTCGTGGTTTTTAGATCGTAATAGGTCTTAACCCCTGTCGCTGCTTTTTCTAGATTCTTTTGGGCAAAAGCAAACGCATGCTGTAAATGCTTGCGCAAATCTTCGATATACTGATGCGTAGTGGCAGCATTGATCAAGTTATGATCCGAAGTACGATATAGTAAATGCTGTGGTAAAACCATCTTTCTTCCTGTCATCAATTCAAAAGGTGACCATTTGGTAGCAGTGCTAGGTGTGGCTCTAATCGCCATTAAAACTAGGGGCAATTTAATGTCCCAGTCTTTACCAGACTCCTTAACGTATTTCTTTAGAATATTAACGCTAGACTGGTTATATCGCTCTACCCCCCCGCTAGACGCAGCGCGGTATGCAATATGTAGCTTTCGTTTAACACCTAGAATGTTCCACATCTTAGCCATTACTTCGCTGGTAAAATGACTACCTCTGTCTGACTCAATTCTTTGAGGCAGACCGAACCTGGAAAAGACATGGTTAATCAACAAAGTGGCGCACACGGTACTCGTGTTCTCTTTACAAGGCAAACATTCTATCCACTTTGTGTACATACATGTAACGGTTAACATGTATTTGTTACCTCTTGAAGATCTTGTTACAGGACCTATAAAGTCAATTTGAATATCAGACCAGGGTAATGACACCCCCCTCTTCTGAAGTGGTGCACGATGGGTTGGACCATGGGGTTGATATTGCGGACAAATCAAACATCCCTGACAGTATGTCTTAACATCCCTTAACATGTGTGGCCAATATGCATAATCACGCAATATCTCATATGTGATCTTATCACCACGATGCCCAGATGTAGGTGCATCATGTGCGTGTTGGAGCATTAACCCTCTGTATACAGTTGGGACTACCCATTGTTGTATACCATGTTTAGAAGTTCTGACCAGTAACCCATCCATGATACTAAATTGGACTTTATATCTCATCAAGATTCGTAAATCTTCATTATTTTTGCAATCCTCATCTGTGATGGGATTGGCAGTAGGGTCTTCTATATGTTTATAGAATATTCCTATGACGGGATCATTCTTTTGACTGGTAATCAGGTCCTCACTAGGAGCTTCTTGACTCCATTGCACGACATTTAAGTCGGCATTATCTCTAGCCTGTCGTCTAGTTATGGCTTCAACATGAATTGAACCAATAAGATCAACAAAGTTTAGGGTTTCACCATTGATGGCAGCTTGTTTTGCCAGTGAATCAGCTAAGTCATTACCATCCTTGTCAATACCTTCTATTTTAGAATGGCCTTTGGTTTTCTTCCAATATATGGATAAACCATTTTCCTTAACCAGTTCATCTATTTTACAAAACAATTTCCCATGTTTAACAGGTTTGTTATTGCTTTTCAGCATTTGGTTACGTTTCCAGCTAGGCAGATATTCGACGAAACTGTTGCGAACATAGTTGGAATCAGTTATGACAACAAATTCTTTGATACCATATTCTATTGCCATTTGAATGGTCTTATATACTGCACAGAGTTCGGCTATCTGACTGCTTTTGGGACCAATATTGTATCCTATAGATACATTGGGATAATCACCTATCCAGGCGATTCCGATACCTGCAACTAACTTCCGTTCAGCACCAGCGACGTGGTGATATGAACAACCATCAATGTATACCCACGGTAGTGGTCGACAGTATTCCTCGTCATAAACTTTATAAGGGGATAGCAGTTGCTCTTCTAGGAAGTCATCTCCGGTGTCATTATCATCCAGAGATGGAGCAGTACAGTCATGTAATTCTGCTAAACCTTGGGCAACTGGGCTTCTCTTATTATGTTTATAACGGACTTCTAACGGCCATCCTTGTAAGGATAGAGTCCATGCAGTAATCCGACTGTTAGAGAGATTACCGTCTCTAATTCTTTGACTCTGCAGATACTGTAGAGGTTGGTGAGCTGTTTCTACAATTATTTTCTCACCTTGGATATAGCTACGAAAATTTTGTAGTGCCCAGACAGTCGACAATAACGCCTTCTCACACGTGTTGAATTTAACTTCAACAGATGACAAAGTCTTGCTAGCATATGCAATAACCTTGTTTAAACTGTCCTGCTTCTGATACAGAACAGCACTTATGCTTAAATTGGTATAACCTGTCTCCAGATAGAAGGGTTTACCCCCCTCTGGGTATGCTAAACAGGGTGCCTGAGTGAGCTTCCTCCTCAGTTCACTTACCGCTTGGTCCTGAGGCTCCCCCCAGTTCCAGGTAGTTTCCTTTTTAAGCAGGTGTAAGAGTGGTTTAGTTATTTCTGCATAGTTATCTATAAACTTACGGGAGTAGTTAGTCATACCAAGGAACGATCTTAATTCCCTGATGTTTGAAGGTGTTTTAGCCTTTAGTACGGCTTCAACCTTCTTCCTCTGGGGATTTAATCCTTCAGAAGTTACCTCATGTCCGAGGAAATTGACATGGGTGCGACACCATTGCGCCTTTTGTAAAGACAGTTTAATCCCTGCCTCTCTTAACTGAGTGAGAACATGTCTAATCTCTAAGATATGCTTATCAAAGGAAGTGCTTTTCAGCAAGACATCGTCGACATATGATAACGTTCCTCTCTCGAGTGCGTCAGGCATAGCTTTATGCATGAACACAGCGAATTCATGACCAGAGTTTATATAACCGAAAGGCATACGGGTCCAGGTATACTGCTGCTTTCCAAATGTGAAGGCCAATTTGTATTGGTCTTCATTATGGACTGGTACAGTCCAATATCCCTGCGCACAGTCAATGGCAGTGAATATTTTGGATCCCTGCATTTGTACCAAACATTGGTCTATGTATGGCGTTGGCCAACCAGACATATAGACGCGTTTATTTAGCTGTCGTAAGTCAGCGCATAAACGCCATTGTCCATTAGGTTTCAGAATCCCCAAGATCGGATTATTATACGAACTGTGCACTGGACGTATAATGCCCCTTTCCTTTAAATTCTGAATGATGTCTTGTAGACCATCATATGACGCTAATGGGAGTCTATATTGTTTGATAAATACAGGTGGTAAATTAGGATCAGTTTGTATTCTGGCTACGTGGAGGTTAGTTAACCCACAGTCGTAGGAATCTTTGGCAAAAATATCTTGGAATTCCAAAAGGATTTCCTTTAGCTGTTGTCGCTCAGCATTATTGGAGCAACCGTCAGCTAAAGATATTTGCTCTTCTAGCCTTTCCTGAAATCCTGGAAAGATTTCAGGCTGGCCTATCTCATAAACTTCTTCAAGCCTAGAAGTTAGGTCAGTTCGGTGTTGACTTACCTTTTCTCTTTGGTCGAGATACTCTTGTGATTCCTGCTCATTGAGCGGATGATCGAAGGTGATAGATGCTTCTTCGATTTTACACGAGCCTTCTTCAACGTTGAAGGGATATACAGATAGGATAGTGAATAATCCTTCTGGGGAGGAATGGAATATTTGATCGACAATTTCGTCCTCAGTTAAGTATTCTTCAGGGATGAGGCCTATAATTTGGTTTTGGAAACCAAATGTATAGTACTCAGCATCCAATGCTAGACCTAATGATGTTCCTTTTGGTAAAGTAACACTATTGGGTGTAACATTGTTGACCATGATATAGGTGGGATTCTTACCAATACTTACCATTGGTGTATGTGTTACCACCATCCCTAATTGTTGTATCTTGTTGGATAAACAGATTAGGGCATCAGAGTTTTCCAATCTTTGACCCTTCTTGACCTGTAGGGGTAAAAGAAAGTTACTTGTCCCCTGTGGAATGGTTATGTCATCAGGAACTTGGATACTTACCGCATATGGGAGTATTTGTCCTGATTTCAAGGCGTTTTCCTCGTGAAGGTATCCATAAGGATTACCTTTTAACCTTGTCCACATGTTGGAATTAATCAGATCAAGGTGTATGGCAAAGCGATGTATGACATCATTGCCGACGTAAACCTGATAGCGAGGTTCGTCTATCACTAGGAATAAATGTTTAACTGTCTTATTTCCGATGGAAATAGATAGTAAACATTTTGCTATCACATTGTAACTCTCTGATTCGCCATCCAGGTTCTGGATCCACCTGTCATGTGGGGAAGCGTACCTGATCATTTTAGGATTAGCGATCTGCTTTAACAGACTTCTGCTAATATAGCTGTTCTCACTCTGTAAGTCCAGCTTTGCATTCCTACTTCTTCCTAAATCATGTATTTGAATAGGAAAGAATAAGTTGTTATTAACCCTTTCAATTCTGGCAAGGAATTGAGCATGACCTGCCAGATCTACAGATTCAACATAGTCCCTGTGGAGAGAAATGGTTAAAACATCACCTTCCAGAGAGACATTCTGGATCCTCTCTGGAGCAATTCTTACGGAATGCTCATCTACAGGTGCGATTGCATCATTCACCTGCAGGATAGTCACGTCAGGTGACTGACTATTCCTAAAATGTACCTCAATCGAGTCAGGTCTTTCTTCTATCACATGGCAGTTACGATCAGATTGTACATGTGATCTCTCATAGGTTATGGGAACCTTAGCTTGTGACCATACAATTCCATTCACACAGTCAATAATCGTGTTAAGTCTCCTGAGTATGTCTATACCCAGAATCAGTCGGTCATAGGGGAGATCTACCACTATTACCGGGTGTCTAAAGGTTTTGTTACCCAATTTAAACTTTAACCAGGTATTGCCAATAACATGAAGGGCATTTCCTCCTACACTCAACAGAGCATTGGGGAAATCTCTTAGCTTCGGCTTATCCGTTGCTAAGTCCATTACCTGCTGGAAGTAGGTATTGGATAAGATAGTGGCTTGTGAACCAGTATCTATTAACCCTTTAAAAGGCTGGGGTAGCGAATCCTGTATTTCTACAGACATGTAGTACCTTCCTTCATGTTCTTCTAATTCACATAAGAATTTAGAATGTGTCAACATATTACTTGTTTTCCATACATTACCGGTCACAGCAGTAGTTTCTACCTGTACTGAGGAATGCTCAGTCTTACCCACAGGCCCATCCTTCTTAGGAATATCTTGAACTGTCAAGCGGGAACTAGTGGTCGGCATCTCATCAGTTAACCCTTTCAGGTCTGGATCCTGGAAACTAGTGGCTGCTGGGGCTATTTTAGCCTTTGGCTGAAATGAAAAAACAGAGGAACACGTTGCGCCTCCTTCACCCGGAAGTGAAGTGACGGTATAGGCAATAGGTTTTCTAACACAACTATTGTTTGTTTGACTGTTAGTACCTGGAAAGGAAACAGGGTTAGGCATTACATCTACTGATAACCTAGCCTGTTTAGTCACAGTGGCTATTATTGCTGCGGCACCTGTTGTTGTTGCTGCGGTTGCACAGGTAGTTCTGCAATTGGAGCTATCCCTAAAAAAGGATTTTTGGCAAAGACTTCGTTAATCTTTGTCATTCCCTCTATTAATTTGCCCATCTGGTCAGTCAATTGACCAACCTGACGACGTAAATTATTTCCGCCATTGCCGTTTTGTCTTTGCCCATTAGAATTTGGCTGGGATGGCTGAGACTGTTGGGAGTTATTGGAAGCAGATTGGTTGTTTCTGTTTCCATATCTCCTATTTCCCTGAGGATTCCTTCTCCATTGGGAATTGCCTTGGTTCTTATTAACCCAGGGGCGTTTATTCCCATTGGCATTGGATTTTTCAGAGTTATTAGAGGAATTTGCAGAATTGCTTCCGGCATTTTCCTGTTTCTGAGGTTTTGGAGTTTTCAAAACCTCGGAATAGGTCCTCTTTTTCTGTTGGGTTTCTAAACCTAACTGAATTTTAGTCTCTGACACCATTTTATCACCAGGTTTTTTAACCTTTGGCTGATTTTCGTCATGTGCATGGTGTATAGTGTACAATTTCATGCATTGACTGACTAGCCATTCTAATGGCAACTTACAATCGTAATCTCTTGCGAGATTCATTTGTATGTTTACCGGCATGGCATGAAAATACAGATCTTTGAAGTCTGTGCTTTCATACCTGGGTTTTCTTTGGGCCACGGAGTATGCATTTTTAAGAATTATTAAAAATTCTCTGGGGCTTTGATCTGGACGGCACTTTAAGTTATAAAGCGCCTTCTTTGCAGAGGCAATGGTTTTATACTTACCATATTCCATGATTATTTCATATTTCATCTTGGACCAGGACATTAACTGTATAGCTTGAAGACTTTCTAGATAAACACGGCACATTGAATCAAAGGTCCATGTAATGAACCATTTCTTATGAATGTCATCATACATGCCCAATGAATTCATTGCTCTATCATAATTTTCCAGATGTTCAGATATGTTTCCTGAACCTCTAGAAAATTGTGGGACAGTCTCTCTAAGGAATTTGATGACCTTTGGTGTTTCATAAACAGGCATCGTTGATTTACGACCTCTGTTTCTGTGTTTGGGTAAACGTCTATGTGATCTGTCTGCTGAAGAGGAATTAGACCCGTACAACAGTGCAGATGGCATATCAGTTACATGGCCTTCAGAGTGGACAGTGCAATCACTTTCACTCCCATCACTCTGAGCTTCTTGTTCACTGTCACAATTCTGATCAGCATCAGAATCCTGCCAGTGTACAGAACCATGTCTGTTTTCATTCCTATCACCTTGAATTGGACTCTCTCTGTCAAGCATGGCCAGGACAGTCTTTTCAAACTGTTCTGCCCATGATTGCCAAGAACCTACAGGTGTTTTCTCAGAATTACTCACCTCTTTACTTACAGACTGTTTTATGAAAACCTGGTTTGGTGTGGGAAAATTATAATAAGGAGGGGATTTACAAATAGTCCTTTCTTGCATTTTTGTGCAACTTTTTGGCACAGAATGATGACTACCAACCTCACTGTCTAATTTCTGACTCTCCTTTTCATACTCATCCAATTGCATTTTAAGCTGATTTATTTCCTGTGCACATTTATCCATCAAAGCTTTCATTTCTTTTTCATGATCAGCCTGACGAGTTTTATGCTCAGCAAGTAAATCTTGGTATTTCCCATTTTGAATGCCCAAATCGTCACTGTACGTGTCCAATTTGGCATTCAATGACTTGTTTTCATCACACACCTTAAGAAGTGCTGTCATAAAGAAAGGCCAAGAGTGTATTATGAACGCCATTTTCCTTTCTATGTTCTTTTGTTCAGCAATTTCTTTAAGATATATGATGATGTGTTCATCAGTTAGAATGGTGTGTTTAGCTTCCCATTCTATGCTTTTCAACCAAACCTCATAGGTTGCATCATTTTTCATATGTTTATGAATATGAACTAGAGCATGTTTTCTTAGGTCTTCAATTATTTCAGTATTATCTGTTACAGATTTATCACTGCCACTGGCCATTTTTATTTTTATTTTATTGATTAATCTCAATACAAAACTCTTTTCTATATTAAGATTAAATTGCATGAATTACACCAATATTATTATTATATATGAAATACAATTTCAACTTAAACGATCTCAGCACCGTGCCTCCAATATGTGGGGATATTTATGGGATAATAATAGTAACAGTTGAGAATTGCCCACTAATTCAATTCTCAGATCCCAAAGAACGTTTATCGTGTTAAGTGAAAGTATTTCATATAAATAATCACAATGTATAAAAATAGATTTTTATTTATATGACAAATTAATAATAATATTATATGTAACATGCATAACAATAATCAATGAATATTCAGTATAAAACGATATGCAATACAAAGAAATGGGTATTACGTTTCAATGGCTAAACGGCATTATCTGTCAAGAATTCTGAGGATTTATGAGGTATCCTTAACATAGACTTTTCACAGCTAAGAACAGAATTCCTCAGAGTGCAGCGTAAGGTCGTAAAGTTTAGCAGACAGTTAGAATAACCCTTTCAATGCTGGCTAGATCTCCTAGGTAGTTAAGATCTATTCTTATGTATTTTTAAATAAAATAACATTTAAACCAGTTCACTAGTCATTTTCTTAAACCATCCATAAGAGAATTTACCACATTATATAAGCAGATTTTTAATTTGTCTAAAAGATATCTATCTTAATTTAGAGCAAATCAATACACCTGGATAAAAACAGCGGTATGCTAACACGTGATAATATCACATCAATATATAATTATTCTTAATTCCACCTGCAGAATGGAATGTTTATAACTATATATTCTTAGTTAACTAAGATTTCTTAATATGGAAATCTGACCGTGCTTTATCCAGTCATATATAATGCTATTAATACATTTTAATTAATTTAATTTAATTAAATGAAACCAGTATAATTACCAGTTGAGTAGATATTTCATCCGATTGGTAGCCTCAGGAACTTATTTGGATGTCTCTCTCTGCATTGGAGTCCCCAAACTTCCAATTCCTCTCTCCTCTTTTTCTTTGCATCTCTTGCATCTGCCTCCTCTGTCTTGTCTCTCTATCTTCCCTTTGTCTTAACTTTTAAAGGGCCAGACTCTCTGTACGTCATCAGTTGATAACCCAATAGAAGCACTAGAGGTGTGGTTATCTTCCAGATCGCAAATTAGTTATTTGGTCTGTAGAGGGCAGTCTTGTCCCACTAAACATACCTATCCAGGAAAGAGTTAACTTTTCCTGGTGGCTATTTTGACGTCATTTTGCGTTATCTTTATAGTGCCATAATTTAAAATTTCAAAGGGTTTCTTAAATTTTGTCCAGACTTAGCGTCTGCAATTCCTGCCATAATTTCTGATATGACAGATCATGAACTAAGTTTACCCTTTTCCATACAATGGTACCTTATATATATAGACAGTTAAATATTAAATTATTTAATCTTCTCTGTCACAATTGTCTGGGTTTAGATTTGATTATATTCCATTAGCATTTTAGACAGTCTATCCAACCCCCTTCCTTATCACTTGTTTGTATATACTATGCATTCCTCAGATCTGGGAAAGTGGTTAGCTTACAGATAGAAATATAGTGTCTTTTTGTTAACTTGAAATAACAAAATGGAGTCTGGTCTGTTCAGAGTGACTCAGAATATACACTTTTAGTTTCTATCATAGCACAAAATGTCTGCCGATATAAATACCCTGACAACATATTTAATGCATATATATGATTTCATTATAAGTGTACTTTGAGATATACAGGCATTTCCCAGTTTACGAACTCCCACTTTACGTTTTCCCGCCTTTAGGAGCGCTATTTTATATTCGCCTCCATTTTGTTTCAGTGATCCGTGGATGCGGACCGCGGAGCATGCTTTGAGGCACTGGAAAACGATTTTTGGCCAGGAGAGTGAACAGGAGTGAAAGGTAAGTGTAAAAACCGGGTTTGTGTGTGTATGTGTGCCTGAGATTGATGTGAGTGTGCTTGGTACTTCTTGCATTTTCCCTAATTATATAACCCTTGACTTTAACACAGCTTTGTCTCCTCTACTGCAGTTTTGGAAGCATCTTACTCATTAGTGTTTATCGCTTCTAGGCATTCTGACAACTATTCAATTGTTCTTTATAATTTAAGGGCACAAATAACACATATATAGCAGCGTTGTTTTTAATGCCATGGATTCTTCTAAGTCTTTATACTTTTCCATAAGTAGTTAATTGTGTCCCATATTAGGGAACCAGAGCCAGCCTTAGGGGTGTGCGAGCTGTGCAGCTGTGCAGCCGCACAGGGCACCATTGACCAGGGGGCGTCATGTGGCCAACAGAGCTCGCACGTGGCCGGGTGACAGGAGTTCAGGGGATCTAAAACAGGTACCTGGGTGGAGGATTTAATTATTGTCCACCCGGGTCTATAAAAATAAAATAAAAATCGAGGCAGCAGGGGCGGGGCTTAACAGTTGACGTGGCGGGTCATATAACGGGGCGGAGGCGAGGCTTACCCAAAGCCCCTGGTAACTGCGGCACAGGAAGAGGGAAGAAGGAAGGAGTCCCTGCTTCCCCAACAACCAACTGCATCCACTCCCCCTTCCAGCCATAATGGAAAGAGGTAAGTCTGTGTGTGACTGTGACTGCCTGTCTGTGTGTGACTGTTTGCCTGTGTGTCTGCATGCCTTATGTGTGTGTGTGTGTGTGTGAGACGTCTGCCTGCCAGTGTGTGTGCCTGACTGCCTGTGTGTGATTGTATAAGTGACTGCCAGTGTGTGTGTGTGTGTGTGACTGTCTGACTGTTTGCCTGTGTGTGTGTATGTGTGACTGCCTGCCTCTGTGTGTGTGACTGATTGCCTGTCTGTGTATGTGGTTGTGACTGTGTGCCTGCCTGTGTGTGTGTGACTGCCTCCCTGCGTGTGTGTGTGTGTGTGTGTGTGAGACTGTCTGTGTGTGTGTGCGTGTGTGACTGTCTGCCTGTGTGTGTGTGACAGTCTGCCTGTGTGTGTGACTGTCTGACTGTGTGTTACTCCAATTGTGTGTGTCGCTGTAGCTGTGCTGTTGTGTGTGCCTGTGCCTGTATGTGTTACTATCTGTCTTTAACTGAGTGTGTGTGCCTATCAGCGTGCATGAGTGTCTTCATGCCTGAAACAGAGTGTGTATGACTGTCTGCTTGTAATGGAGTATGTGTGACTGTCTGCTTGTGACTGTGTGTGTGACTGTCTGCCTGTAACAGTGTGTGTGACTGTGTGCCTGTAACTGTTCGTGATTGTGTGCCTGTAATTGTGTGTGACTATCTGCCTTTAACTGTGTGTTTGGCTCTGTGACTGTTTGCCTGTAACTGAGCATATCTGAATGTCTGCCTGTAACTGAGCATGCCTGACTGTCTGCTTATAACTGTTTGTGTGACTGTCTGCCTGTGCCTGTGTGTGTGACTGCAGTATACAGGCAACTTGGTGTGGGGGGGGGGGGTGCACCGTGAAAACTTTTCACACAGAGCGCCTAATGGCCTAAGGCAGGCCCTGTAGGGAACTATCCCCAAATTTGCATAGTGTGAGTACCTGTACATCAAAAATGCTTGTGCTACGCAAAATGCTGTCAAGGCATCAATTTCATGCCCCGAGTGCTGCAAAAACACTTTGGATATGTGCTGTCCCGAGTGGAACTAGAATTAAAGGAATACTATAGGGTCAGGAACACAAACATATATTCTTGACGCTATAGTGTTAAAACCACCATCTCACCCCCCTTTAACTCTTTTCCTGTAGACAGCCAAATAAAAGTTGTGAAATGTAATCTAAAAATACTGTAAAAGGAGAAAAAGAAAAAAAGAAAAGGAGCTCTTAAAATAAAAAGAGAAGAGATTGAAAGCTCTAAAAATAAAAGGAGGAAAAGAGGTGCAAGCCTTAAAGTAAGAGAGAAGGAGAAGAGATTGAAAGCTGTAAAAGGAGCAACAACAAAAAAGTGATAAAGGAGAGGTGCAAGCCTGAAAGTAAGAGAGGAGGAGGATTACTTGAGAAAGATGTGAAATTAAAGAAGGAAAAGGAAAGTGATAAAGGAGAGAGGGAAGTTGAGAAAGAAAAAAGTGAAGAAGGAGGACTCATAATGCCACCAGAAAGAAAGGATGTTACAGTTGGGCTTGTAATGAAAATATCAAAAGACAAAAAGCCATAACATTAGAAACAAAATTGTTCATAACAGACCTTGATGCTGGAAATACCACTAAAGAATTAACTACCAAATATTCACTAAGTAAATCAACTGTGAGTACAATTTTGAAAGACAAAGAAAAATATTTAAAGGAAGTAAAAAATGTGGAATTTCCTGCATTCTACTTGGATACGAACAAAGGAAAATGAAAAGCCTTATTCCTCATATAGAAAAATTTTTAACAGCATGGATAAGTGATCAAATTGAACGGCTCCATATGCCTGTGACCTATGCTACCATTTGTGCTAAAGCTTTATCACTTTTTGATATGCTGAAACAAAGAAAAGGAGGCAACATTGAAGAAACGTTTTCTGCAAGCAGTGTGATCATTACAAAAGAAAAGCTGGTTGACATAACTTAAATATCCTTGGAGAATCTGCAAGTGCTGATACAGAAACGGCTAAATTATTTCCTGCTAAACTGGCAGAAATATTGGAAGAGGGAAATTACTCGCAATCACAGGTTTTCAATGTGGATGAAACAGGTCTCTTTTGGAAGTGCATGCCATCAAGAAGCTACATTGCAAAAGAAGAATCATCAATGCCCGGTTTTAAACCAGCAAAAGATCGACTGACTTTATTGCTTGGTGGGAATGCAGCTGGAGACTGTAAGTTAAAACCCATGATGGTGAAGGGGGCGGAGCCTGACCTCGGAGCTGCACAGACGAGCGTGCTGCGAGCTCCTGCCCAGCGGGCAGCATTTGAAGCTAAATCGACGGTTACAGAACCCACAGCACATCCAGGGTGCACTACCCACACCCTGGGGGTGCACCGCGGAACAGGACGATGCCTCGCAGATGACCATCGGAACCGGGTAGCCGACAAACCGCATGCGGCCTAATGGCGATGGAGCTGGGGGAGGCGGCCGCTCTCAGGCATTTGTACTCCTCAAGGCTTCACTTAGCATCCCACCATATTAGTTAAAGCAAAATGGGCTCAATATTGTGTCTAGCTAATCGCAGGGACTGTAACGTCAGTGACCCCAGCTATCACAGTTAACGAATGTATACTCAAGCATATTTACTGTTTGTCTACTATAAGTGAACCTGATGAATCTCTAGACATAGCTAATAACTTAATATTCACTGTATACATAACTTAGCACACTGTTTAAAATATGTTCCGTTAAGTGACTTAATGATACATCTCTACACGTAGCTAATACCTTAATATTCACCGTATACGTAACTTAATGCGCTGTTATCTTAACTATTAAAAAATGTGCAAGTAATCTTGTATACCCCACTGATTCAACTGTTAAAATTCAGCGTGAATAATGCCGTTGGGGTACCTCACCCTTGTTGTTATATTTCTTTAAATTTAAAAAAATAACATGATGGTGCACAATGCAGAAAATCCTAGGGCACTTAAAGTAATTGTGAAAAGCACACTGCCAGTCATATGCAAAGCCAATAAAAAAGATTGGGTTACTGCTTCGCTATTTGAAGATTGGTTCACATATTATTTTTTACCTGAAATGAAAAAATATTGTGAAGATAAATCAATACCTTTTCAAGTTATTCTACTTGTAGATAATGCCCCCGGTCATCCACCCTCTCTTCAACATCACCACCCTAATGTCAAAATCATATTCTTGCTACCAAATACAACTTCCATTTTGAAACCAATGGACCAAGGTGTTATCGCCACATTTAAAGCACTGTACCTTCAGCAGACATTTCAAATGTTGATTAAAGCAATGGATAATGAGACAGGTCCAAGTCTTAAAGATTTTTGGAGAACATAATTTAATATTTTAGTTGCAATAAAAATTACAGCATATACCTGGAACAAAATTTCAGAGACAACCATGAAAGGTGTTTGGAAAAAGCTCTGCCATTAGTTGTTTGGTACTAATATTGAAAGGTTTGAAGAACCAGCAGAAATTGTACAACAGAACACAGAAGCAATCGTTACACTTGCCAACAAATTGGACCTGGACATCTCTGCAACTGACATAAATGACCTTCTTGAAGCGCACAAGGAAGAACGAACAAATGAAGACCTCTTAGATATGGAAGAACAAGAGGAAGTTGAAGAGGAAGAAGACACCTGAAACTCCTGTTTTTTCTTTCACTTTGAAAGGCCTCGAGTAAGCATTTCAACATATAGAAAAGGCAATTCATTTTTTTGAGTCAAAAGATTCTAACTTTGAGAGAAGTACCAAAGTTGCTAGAGATCCAAGAAATGCCTTTGCTTGCTATAAGGAAATTTACAATGAAAAGAACATGTTGGAAGCAAACTACCATCACAGCTTGTCTACAGAAAGCTGCTATGACTAGTTCTGTCTCAAACGAATCAGAAACAAGTAAGGTGCAACCTTCAACAAGTACCAAACAACTGAGGATGGACTGTGCGGTGCCCCATTCATCAAGTGCAACATGTCTCTTCATTGAGGACGATGATGATTGAGGATGATTTGATGAAGAATTCTATATGTTATGTATTTCTTTAACCCCTTAAAAGACCACTATAGTGCCAGGAAAACATACTCGTTTTCCTGGCACTATAGTGCCCTGAGGGTGCTCCCACCCTCAGGGACCCCTGCCGGCCTCTGGGGAGAGGAAGGGGTTAAACTTACCTCTTTCTCCAGCGCCGGGTGGGGAGCTCTCCTCCTCCTCTCCTCCCTCTTCTCCTCCTCTTCGGCTGAATGCGCATGTGCGGCAGGAGCTGCGCGCGTATTCAGCCAGTCCATAGGAAAGCATTCACAATGCTTTCCTATGGACGCTGGTGTCTTCTCACTGTGATTTTCACAGTGAGAAACGCGGAAGCCCTCTAGCGGCTGTCAATCAGACAGCCACTAGAGGCTGGATTAACCCATTTATAAACATAGCAGTTTCTCTGAAACTGCTATGTTTATAAAAAAAAAGGGTTAACCCTAGCTGGACCTGGCACCGAGACCACTTCATTAAGCTGAAGTGGTCTGGGTGCCTATAGTGGTCCTTTAAGGACGGCAGGTGTGCTATGCCACCGTAACAGCTTTAATGCCCATTATAATGGGGACGGCATAGAATGCCCTAAGGGCGTGGAGGGGTTAAACAGGGACTGTTGTAAAAAATAAATAAAAAGACCCCACCCCCATCCAATAAAGGGGTACCTGGCACCTGGCCCCCATGCCCCCATGGTGGGGCACCTATTAAAATAATTAACAAAAGAGGCATAGTGTTCCCCTCGAGCCCTCACCTATGTCCTGTGAGTGGTGGTTATTAAACTAAACAGAGGACCTAGTGTCACCCCTAGCCGCCACCCATTAGCAGAATGTGGGGGCCCTAAGTAATAAAGGCGGGGGGGCTCTCTGGATCTCTACCCCCCATCCCAGAATTAGATTGGCCTGGTTGGTGAGAAAGATCTTTGATCTCTCCAAAGGCACAGAGGCACCTTTCTTGGCTAGCGCTCAAGCAGTGCCAGCTGGAGAGAACCCTTCATCGACCCTGTCACCACTGGTCCATGGCCAGCGCAACCCTTTTGACTGATAGCCTGTATGTGAATGACTGCGTAGTGTGCAAATAACGTTGTAGAAGACACAGAACCCATCTCTCAGAGTAAAGCATCTTGGTTTTTTTTGTGGCACTACTGATGAACACTCAAAGGTAGTTGTGAATGTGCATTACCAAACACAGACCATGCTAAGTAAAGAATGACAAACAACATCCAATCAACAGCATCTCTGTTCTCTCACCATCCCAGACTATACATCCAGTGCTCAAGTCAGTTTACCTGCTGCCAGAAGGGCTGAGATCATGGGACAACAGTCGGTACTCAGCTAAGGTGCCAAGTACCAGGAACCGTATGGTCTGATTGGGGAGATATAAATATCTCTAATAAACGGACAGGATTGAGAATCTATGGTGACCTGGGACCATTATGTGACTGCAATCTAAACTCTCTCCCCACCCCTGCTGCAGCACTGGGAGAATGCTATATAACATCATTTCCTTTCAGCGTTTCTAAGGAAGTTTCATGGGATTAAAAGTGTAGCCGCAGTGGTACAGAACATTCCACACTAGACCCCATGGGAGCATGCATATGGTGGAGGGGTGGGATAAAAAGGATGAACCAGTGACACAATCTATGTCACTGGCTTATCCTTTTTATCCCCAAAGTAGAGACTGGATAGGCCCAAACAACTGGCAGGTAAGCCTGGTATGATTGCATGCCAGGCTCCCTTCCAATCAAGTAGTTCAGCCCACCAAGAGTGGACAATGCAGAAAGCACTGTTTCATAGTACTCTGATCATAATACAAGAACATCTAAGAATGCACTCATGCTACACTTTCTGGACAGGCCTGTAAACCAAAGGTGGACCTTGAAGAGAGCTTGGTTTCAGCGCTTTCTGCAGGAACCAGTTGCCCTAATTGTAGTGCAAGCATGTCTAACGATGCACTCATGCTAAACTTTCTGGGGACAGTTTCCTGGTGTCCCCAAAATTGGGACACCAGAGAACAAAATTGGGTCAGCAAACAGGACCATAACATATGGACAGTCCTCTTGAAATTGGAACACTTTGGAGACCTGGAGAAGTCACCTTCCTACAGCAAAAAGTTAGGCAATCAGGAGAATAGTTTAATTTTAAAGCAATGACTACATATTTATGTATTTCAGCACATTTGTGTGTTTGGTAGGGTGAGTGTGTGTGTTATTGGCATTTTTCAATGTTCATTTAATGGTGTCTTGAAAGTCAGAACTTTGAAATGTGATAGTCAGCCAGAAAATAATGCAGCAGTCTGCTGATCTAATTCATGGCATCTACACATACAAAGGTAGCTAAAACATTGCAAAATCCTCCTTGACTGTCTTCCAACAGGCCTCATGTTACAACTGTCGGGTAAGATGAATCAGGAACAGGATGTATTAGTGAACTGTTGATAGTTATCATGCAATTTCAATACATCTTTCATTTGTTTGGATTACACAACAGAGTTACATAAATTAAAATGTGGGATTTGTTCCCTACACATTAATTTATAAAAGTTTTATATCGAAATGCTGCACATACTAACTCCAGGTACCATGACTACTTCAAATCACTGAAGTGGACATGTTGTCTAGAGTAAATCTTTTAAACTTTGCATTTCAATTTCCAATTTACTTAAGTTTAAATAATTATTCAATAAACCCCTATGTATCCTCTTAACTAGTTTTTGCTATATCTGACTTTTAAATGCCTTAGATCTGTGAGCAATCAGTTGCTATATAATATGTGCCTGATGGTGGTAAAACAGTAAACCAAGGAGTCTCCTCGCTTAAAAAGGAATTGTATGAACTGAAAACTGATTGGCATAATTAACCCCTTAAGGACTGGACTGTTTTTGCGATGTTGTACATTTGCGACCAGGCATATTTTTACACTTTTGTGGTGTTTGTGTTTGGCTGTAATTTTCCGCTTTCTCATTTACTGTTCCCATACAAATTATATATTGGTTTTTTCAGGACAAAAGGGGCTTTCTTTACATACCATTATTTATATAATCTCATGTATTTTAATTAAAAAAAAATACAAAAATCTGATGAAAAATTGAAAAAAATACATGTTTTTTGACTTTTACTTGAAAAATCTTTTACTCATCTACAAAAGCCAATGAAAAAAACTGCTAAATAGATTCAAAATTTTGTCCTGAGTTTAAAAATACCCAGTGTTTACGTGCTTTTTTGCTTTTTTTGCATGTTATAGGGCTATAGGTACAAGTAGGATATTGCGGTTTAAAAACATACATTTTAAAAATTTATCAATAGTGACATTGTAACACTATTATCTGTCATAAATCTCTGAATAACACCCCACATGTACATATTTTTTTTAAAGTAGACAACCCAGGGTATTCAATATGGGGTATGTCCAGTCTTTTTTAGTAGCCACTTAGTCGAAAACACTGGCCAAAGTAAGCATTCATATTTGTTTGTGTGTGAAAAAGTAAAAAAACTAAATTGAACGCTAATTTTGGCCAGTGTTTGTGACCAAGTGGTTACTAAAAGACTGGACATACCCCATTTGCAATACCTTGGGTTGTCTTCTTTTGCAAATGGTATGCCATCATGGGGGTAATTCTCATTCCTGGGCTACCATACGCTCTCAAAGGCAACGTAACCAACCTGGCCATTTTCAATGTAAAAATATTTGACCCATATATTTGACCTTGTAACTTTCGAAAATGCTATAAAACTTGTACATGGGGGGTACTGTTTTACTCAGGAGAATTCGCTGAACACAAATATTAGTGTTTAAAAACTGGAAAACGTATCACAACAATTATATCATTAGTAAAAGTGCTGTTTGTGTGTGAAAAATGCAAAAAAAGTCATTTTCACTGACAATATCATCGCTGTGATATGTTTTACTGTTTTGAATCACTAATATTTGTGTTCAGCGAAGTCTCCCGAGTAAAACAGTACCCCCCATGTACAGGTTTTAGGGTGTTGTAGAACGTTACAGGGTAAAATAAAAGCTAGTACCAAATTCTCTACCGCCCAAAGTCAGTGGTGGCAGGTCTCAAATTGCAATCATTAAAATTATTACTGAATTATAAATACGACGTAGAATTTAAATATATATGCATATTTATATATTTAAAGTCTACGTATATTTATATATAATTATTATTTATGTAATTTTGTATATGGACATATGTATATTTCTTATTATTTTTTATTTATTTATACATAGATATATATACACCATTCTAAGTGTATTTTGATATAAATATATATATATAGGCTAAATTTTTAAAATACAGTTAGAATAAAATTTCATATAGCTATATAATTTTTTAAATTTTTTTTATTATTATTTAAAAAAAAATTATTTAATTTAAATTACTTATTATTTATATTTTATAATAATATATATATACAATATATATAGTTATTATATATATTATATATATACGTGTGTAATTTAATTATATGTGTATTTTTATATTAATATGAGTACATATTAATATAAAAATACACTTAGTATGACATTATATATGATATATAGACATATTATATA